TTTGAGATTCGGTATCACGGTTAATCTATTGTGTAAATTGTAGTATTTTTTACAAGATATACGTTTAGTTAGCAATTTCGTTGTTTTGCTATATTTTTTCGTTTACTGTATGACTTGTAAATTCTTTGTAGAATAATTGTAGTTTTTGGTCCATGACGTACGTTTAGTAAGCGGATATGTTTCTTTTTTTGGTATTTCGTTTACTGTATAAGTTACCCTGTAAACTGTATTTTTTGTACAATGCGTATCCTTTGGTTACCCGTTGTTCTTTAAATACGTATTCAGATTATTCAGGAGTGTATTTTTTTCAATGGCATACGTAGAGTTACCGGTTTGATTTATATTGCCTTTTTTTACATTACTATTTCCATATGATTAGTCAGCTGTTCGTTTTTGTGCATTACCATTTCCATATGTTTAGTCTGCTGTTCCGTTGTTTTTTAAAGCGATTATTCTAGGCCTAGGGTGTAAACTGTAGTATTTTGTTCATGTAATACTTTGAGTTAGATATTTGATTTTTTCATTGCGTTGTGCTAGGTTAAAAACGTCGTATTTGTTGATAAATTTGTTTGTTTAGCCGTAGTTTCCTTCTTCCTTGTTTTATAACGCATTTTAATACTAAATTATTAATAGTAGGTAATTATTTGATGTAATAGGAAAATTGTTTTTACAAGATTTGTTCGTATTTTTCTTTTCGTCATTATTCTATTATGCCTTTAAAGTATTTATAGTAAAATTCTTATAGCAATATGTATTTTTCAATTCATAACTTTGTATTGAGCCTCGATTTTGTTTGATTTATAATGTATTTATTTATTGGTATACTTGATTAGCAAATTTATTATATCAAGCCAATTTTACAAAGATTTTTAAAGATAAGTCTCTGTAAATACCTTTGTAGTTGTACACTCGTACTGTCAACCAGTTCATATGAAGTAATGGTATAAAGATTTTTAAAAATTAAAGTGTCTGTCGATACCCTTGTACTTGTACTTGTACTCTTGTAGTTACAACCAGTTCATATGAAGTTAATGGTATAAAGATAAAAAAGATTAAACTGCCTGTACATACTCTTTTACTTGTACTCTTGTAGGCCTAGTGTAAAGCCGAATCATAACTATGCATATTTTTGAAACGTTCTTCTCTCGTAGAATAAAGTGAAAGTAGCGCGTGTTATGTCACCGAGGAAGAATATGTAGCCTACAGTGGTTTGGGAATCAGGGGTGTACGACTTAACCGATGGTACCAGACAAATAATAAGGCGTAAAAATAAACACTGAAATAATTTTATAACACTTACCATATTAAAATTCTAGTAAATATTTTCATTTAAAACTTAAAGTAATAAAGAAATTTAGGATTTATGTTATAGAATTTTGTTAAATAAGCAGTGCATATGCATTATCGTACGTGTTCTTAGTTTTAAGTTTATTATATTATGTAGAGAATATGTAAACCCACAACAGAAATAAAACAAACTTAGTTGTAATATCAATATAATAAACTATCGGTTAAACGATAAAAATGGTTTGCTATAAAGTTGATCAGTATTGAACGTAAAAAGAAAGGCAAAATTTTTTTACAAACCTTTGTAATTTGATGTGAGTTTAAAATCATGATAGACCTTCAAGTAAGTGAATCATATACAGAAAAAATAAATAAAATTGGGATTCCTGTATAGCCTACAATTAATTGTAGCATTACAATATTGACAAATAACTTTTTAATTGAGTAATGTATGGATAAAATTATGTTATATGTGTTAGAGGCAGTTGATGCAGTTCGTGTTCATTGCATTCGCTTTGTAGAGACAGCTCGACCTGTGAGGGAGAGGCAGGTTGCTGTGGGAAGTGACGATGAGTAGGGGGGGAGACTGACGCGCGAGCGCGGTGCAGGCTACCTTAACGCAGCGTGTCTCAACGCAGACTGAGCTCAGCGGCGTACTGCATTACCATTGACTACCACGACCCAAGCGTCAGCGGCCCGAACTACGTCGTCAAAAGCGGTACCGACTAACAGTATAGCGGTGGGCTCTCTAGGTTAGGTTTATACTCTTATACTCAATGGTACTACTGTACTGTCATGAGTTTTACCGGACACCAATCAGCTGATTATACTGTATTTAGGTGGCAATGAATATAAACAAAAACATAACCTCTCTTAGAGGTTATGACTAGTGATTTTTAGTCCTTTAGTTGGTGGAAATATATAAGGATTTGTACAGATTTATTAGTATGGCGTAAACTATCGTACGTAACTCGTCCAAAATGTGTGCACCGGACTCGTATGGTAATCCCGTACTCGACTTCGTCTCGCAGGGGAACGACCATACTCATCCGGTAAACACTTATTTTCAGGACTAGTAACGTAATATACTATTTCATCATACAGCGGCAAAAAGGACCGTTTCGGGTATAATGTCTAAAGGTATAAAAGCTCATTTTACTTCTTAAGGAGTAAGAATCAGCTTTTGAAAATTATTTGTAAACTTTGGTTGTAACCGATTTACCGAAAGTATGTATCGATTAATCGATTGTTTTAATCGGTTGTAGTTTTAGCTTTCTTTCCAACAGTTTGTCATTTATTTTACTGCTGATTCATTTTCCTTAAAATTGTACTATTATTGACTTGTACAACTTTAAGGAAACCGAATTCGTGGTAAACCAAAATACTTCCGTCGCAGCAAAACTGCGGACTAGGTGAAGTTCTATTTGCATGATTTGATTTTCAATTAAATCTAAAGATTTAAGTTTTCCTTGAATTCGGATTCGGTTTCCTTAAATTTTTATACAGGGTGAATAAAAACACCCCCCCCCCTCTAATATTTTTCCAAGTAAATATACAGAGATATCCTTTTGGTGGTCGAGCAATCTTTGCAGGAAGTTACTATTGAAACATTTTTAGTTGTCCCCCGAATCCTTTTGGGGGGACACTAAAAAATTTTAAATGTAAACCCCCTTCAAGTGACACATCATTTTGAAGTGTTTACAAAAACTTAAAGAATGGTGAAAACCAGAGCTCGCTATCTCTTCTCTATCCAAAATGGCAGCCAATATTAACAATTTTACCATAGATTTTCCACAACATTTGACAGGCTACCATTTTGGATAGAGATGAGATAGCGACCTCTAGTTTTCACCATTCTTTAAGTCTTTGTAAACACTTCAAAATGAGGTGTCACTTGAAGGGGGTTTAAGTTTAAAATATTTTAGTTGCCCCCCAAATCCCCCCTTTTGGGGGGACACTCAAAAATTGCAAAATGATAAAATGAAACTTCCTGCTAAGATTGCTCGACCACCAAAAGGATGTATCTGTATATTTACTTGGAAAAATATTAGGGGGGGGTCTTGACTTTTTATTCACCCTGTATATCAATAATTGTGATTTATTAGGTACTGGCGGAGTATGTTTTATCTATGGTATAGGCCTACTGGGTACACAACTGGAAACTTTATTTCAAACATATCTTGGTATAAACCCAATCATTTACTTTCATCGTATTGAACTTATATGATACTTGTATAGTACTTTTTAACTCTTGGAGATGGGAAAAACGCCATGTTGTGTCTTATTTGCAATAAATTCCCAATCAATAACACTAAACATCATAGATAACTATGCAACAACGCATATAAGCTGATCGACAATAAAGTAATGAAAACAGGGAACCCCAAAAATATAAGGTTGTTTTGTCATTAAAATGTGTCTCACAGCACTTTTAATTTGGGTTGCGCGTTAAAAACACCCTGTAAACACCCTGCTAAGTGCTAAGGTCAGGGACACAAGCTTCAGAATGCAATGTAAGGAAATGAAAGATCTGTGCAGTTTTATTACTGACCAATTATTAAATGTTTCCTTATGATCAATTTATAAAAAAGCCCAATGGTCAAAAAAGTTTAAATTTCGAACCGTAACAAATTAATGTAGTTAATATTTTACAGGACTGAACGGTTGATCCTTTATAACCTGTTGGTTACCTATCTATGTATTGATAAGGTAGGCCCTATATATTTTTTTATACTAACGCTTATTTCTATAAATTTGCCTTGAAAACGTTAACATGAAATGTAAACTACAATACCTAATTTACAACTATTGTATTTAGTTCGGCTTTAGCCACTACATAATGTAGGCAAGTATTTCATCGTACAATCATTTAGTTGGATGCAATGTTGTGGTCAAGCCACCCTCTACACCACCCAACCAATGTCCACCCTATTACCAGCTGTCAAACTCTGACACATAAACACATAGTCACACTGGGGCGCTTCCGTTTATACCACTCCTCCCCTCACCCACCAGCACTAACCCAAAACACAATTATTACACAGTTCTAACTTCTGATGGAGCATCACTTTCAAGTTGATAGGCAGTTGATGTGTTTAAGGGGAGACAATTTATTTATAAAATCAATGCCTTTTAGCTAAAAATAGTACTTCATCACTTGAGCATAAAGTGACTCTTTTCCACCCGAGAACTCAATTCGGTAAATGAGTGAGGGCTAAAAAGACACTTCTTGCCCTAGTTGCCTGTGCAATTAACTATATTTTTCATTATATTGCAACATTGTTTGCAAACTGAGCTAGAAAAACGAAAACACTTTTAATTTAACTAAACTTCCAGCTTATTTTTAATTTTGCAAATACAAACAGCTATGTAGTAAGTGAATCAATTATTTTGTCTATTTACTACTGTGTTACAGTAGTGTACATTATTTTATATGTTGAACTAATGACAAGAAGGCAATATGTTCATACGCTACAAACGATGAAATCGATAGATTTTTTATTTTAATACATGCGGATTTTTTACAATCAAAGTTTGCAACAACTGAGTTTACAACAGCTGAATTTTGCTCTCTAGGTGCTAAAAAAGCCTTTTACTCCATAGGGAATAAAAAAGAGCTACTTTAGACCCGCAACGCATATAATAAAAACTGCAATTTTTGCAGTAGTATGACAAAATATTATTATTATGACTGACCAAACTATGGTTTACAGGTGACAATAGCTACAGAGCTAGGCAAAGTCGTGACGAGTCTACAGGTAGAAAGATCTGAAGTAGCATTCTTCATATTCACCAACGGAAGCACTCTCAGGTGATGAAATAATATTTAGTCTAGGCATTAGGAAAGTTAGGAGAAAGTTTAGGTACAGTCCTAATCACCACTTTTCTTTATGTTTTTTGGGTCGCTGAACACGAATATGAGGTTTGCTGACAGATATTTTGCCCGGAACATTGGTTATTTTGTGAAAAACCTTAAAATTTAGGCACTTTTTTTGGTTTTTCAGGCAAATCTCGATAAGTATGGGTTTTTGATAAAATCCTGCTTTGTAAAATTAAAGATGACAAAATTTACTACAAGTTTCGTATATAATGTTTGTTTCTACGATGAACCGTTTCGCCACTAGAGCACACTAAAAAAAGCCAGAAGTACAAAAAATTAAAAACATTGCTAAATGCTGCCGTTTTACATTACGTTTCCATGAAAACAACCCATGTTACGATAATTTTAACTATTTATTCATGATAAAAAACTGAAACACACTTAAAAATACCCCCGCCACAGCAAACCTGCAGACTAAGCGAATTTCCATTTCCCTGATTGGATTTACACTAAAATGTCTCCTTAGAAATATCACATTTATTACTGATTTAAATAAAACTTTAACGAGTACTTAGGTTTGCTGCAACAGGGAGGGTAAAAAGGTGATTTTTGTCAAACGTAATAATTTAGTATAATATGAATGCATTTTCCAAAGTTGATCAAAATATGTTCATAAACAAGCAAACTACAACAGTTTACTTAGTCTCCATAAGAATAACATGGGCATTTTAAATTTACAGATTTTTGGAATTTTCTCTGTAACCATTAGGAGCATAACAACGCTTTAATATACTAAACTATTTTTTTTAAGCTCTACAAAATGGCATAGAAATAAATCGCTAAATTTTAAGTTCATATGGTCAAAAATAGGAAAAACCAATTTTTACCTCATAAAACCCCCTATAAATCCCTGTTCCCATAATCCGATCATGCTGGGCAAAACCAAAAATGAAAATAAACAATAACCGTTTTACAAAGGTTTTACATTGGGTTTCCATGGAAACAACCCATGTTACGATAATTTGAACTATTTATTCATGATAATGAACTGAAACACACTTGATAAATCTATGCCAAGATGTATGACTGACTGACTGCTGGAACATTTCCCGTTCCCACAAAACCCCCATTTATTTTCTCAGCACAGGGATGTTGCTGGCCACAGGGTTGACTGCTATAGTGGTTGAGAAAAAAGGATGAAATACATTAAAAGAGTTGTAGATAACTTTTAACTTTGGTAACGTCAAGTTCAGACGAGCAGACCGTGTCCAGCCACTTGCCATAGTAAATAACGCGATGAAAGTAGAGAATTCTTACCCGTAAATCCCAGCACATTGTTTCAACGTATCAGCATCGCTAAGGATTCTGATGAAGAACTAAAACACTTCTTGTCCTTCTTACGGAGAAAATTCCAAAAATCTGTAAATTTAAAATGCCCATGTTATTCTTATGGAGACTAAGTAAACTGTTTTAGTTTGCTTGTTTATGGACATGTATTGATCAAATTTGGAAAATGCATTCATTTCATACTAAATTATTACATTTGACAAAAAACCTCTTTTTACCCTCCCTGTTGCTGCAAACCTAAGTACTTGTTAAAGTTTTATTTAAATCAGTAATAAATGTGATATTTCTAAGGAGACATTTTAGTGTAAATCCAATCAGGGAAATGGAAGTTCGCTTAGTCTGCAGGTTTGCTGCGGCGGGGGTATTTTTAAGTGTGTTTCAGTTTGTTATCATGAATAAATAGTTAAAATTATCGTAACATGGGTTGTTTCCATGGAAACGTAATGTAAAACGGCAGCATTTAGCAATGTTTTTAATTTTTTGTACTTCTGGCTTTTTTTAGTGTGCTCTAGTGGCGAAACGGTTCATCGTAGAAACAAACATTATATACGAAACTTGTAGTAAATTTTGTCATCTTTAATTTTACAAAGCAGGATTTTATCAAAAACCCATACTTATCGAGATTTGCCTAAAAAACCAAAAAAAGTGCCCAAATTTTAAGGTTTTTCACAAAATAACCAATGTTCCGGGCAAAATATCTGTCAGCAAACCTCATATTCGTGTTCAGCGACCCAAAAAACATAAAGAAAAGTAATGATTAGGACTGTACCTAAACTTTCCGCTAACTGTCACTTATAATCCTAATATGCCTATTGTACTATTTCTAAAAATATCTATTTGTGTTCAGCTGTCTTCCACATATTAAAAGACCAAAGAAAAGAAAACATTTTTATTTTCAAGAATTAGTTGACTTTAACCTCTTGTTGCTTTAAGTAGACTACTGTTTCAAATAGGTTTTAAATTTTGTGATTTGCCAAATTATTAGTCTAAATTTTTAAAAGGTACCATTGCCAAGGATACTGAAGTAGACACCCGATTTACCTGGACCAGCTTTTGCTATTTTTTAAATTAAAAATTAGCAGTTCTGTGACCCAGTCACGGAATTTTTCAAAAGCCCTATATTCTATCTTATTTTTGGTTGCTGACTTGGTTGTGGTGGGTCATAAAAAGTTGTTACAGCTCACAAAATATCGGCCCAGTTTGACTTGGTAAAAAAGTTTGCGTATTCAACAGAAACCAGCAATTTATATCAGCACAATTTGTCGATGGGGGGCTCACATCAACTACGATTTTGATAAGAAGACTGGTGACAACTTTAACTTAGGAATGGAATATCTAGTTGTATAAATAGCAAACTCATTGGCTGCTCAACTGTATAATAGTTGCTATCAAAATACAATACAGAATAGCCAAACATGTACTGCAAAACATTGTTTAGACTTAGACAATCCATTTTCATTCTTTATAATGGTACCGGTAATATAAATGTTTAATTTTTCTCTTCAATAAAGTTGATGTGATGTCATATAAGGTCCAACTTGACTCAGAGGTTTAGAGCTACAGACCAAGCATTGACTGACATGACAGCTTGGCCTCCAGTCAGCCTAGAAGACACAGGACTACAGCCCATGACCAAGGAGAAATGCCAGGAGGAGATCAAGAGCTTCAGGTCAACCGACTCTTTAACTTTGTAAATTTAGGTACATTTTAAGTTCTGACTTTGAAAATTATTCTTGTAGTTTTGTTAAAACTTTCCCTTCTCTTTCTTTTTATAAGAAACCGTTTTTGTAATTGTGTGAAACGGATTATCCTAGTCTTTTTCACCAAATCATTTTTGTTAAGTAGTCATCAAAGTTATGGATCCGACCCGAAGTTAAGGAATAAGTTAAATCTTTAATTGTAACTTTAGTACTACAATACCCTACATTAGTGGTTGCAGTCGAAGGAATCGTTAGTGAGGTTATTGGTAGCAGGTGTGCAGTTAAAATAAATGGATGAGATAAATGCATTATTTATAATTTCTCTAGTCTGTTTTAGTAATACATGGTTTGGTTATTGATATAACGTTGGAGTATAATATCTTCTGAACTTTTTGGAGACACATATATTATTAGTCTGGTAGTAAACATTAGTCAATGCTCACATGCTTTCTCAGTTGATGAATAATTAGTGTAATTCAGAAAAAAATGTATGATAGCATACATAGCACTAGCTCTAAGTATCAGGGAGATTATCATTTGAGTACTACAAGTATTGCTATATCAATAGTTAAAGATTAAAGATAACTTTAGTGTTTTCCCACTTTCCAGAGAGAAAATCAGTCCAGAAGAAAGTCAGATGAAGGACGTACTGAGATGGTACAACACTGTCAATGCAGCACTGTTGAGTCACCTCACAGCTCAGATCAAGGAAACTGACAACAGTGGTGTCTGGAGGTAAGTATTCTAGTGTTTTGAATGTGCATTTAAATTGTGTGCGTTAATGGAAAAATATAAAAGTTTGAAAGGTCCAAAGTGTGTAAAGTTGTCTAGCTATATGTATTTGTACCTTCATTAGAAAAACGTTTAAAAGTGAATTGGACCTTGCACCATGGAGAAATCACTCTGCAAGTTCAATGACAAAGTGGCTAAGAGTAAAGACCATGAATTTAAGAAATAGATAAATAATTAATCAAGCTTATATGCTGTTGTAATTGTTGGTCAACTTTGATGCACATCATGAGGATTGATTGGTAATGGCTTTTCCACTAATTTGTACATTTATTTTTACCCTTCAGTTTAGCTTTTTTCCTTACTGATAGTGTTTTTATTAATTGATTAAATTTGTCATTAACACACCAGGGTGCATGTCAAAGATGAGTGAATTAGTTAAAGTGCCGGAGTGAATAAATTGCAATGAAACACACTCTTGTGTAAGAATTAAGAATTAAATTCAAATGTAAAAAGTCTTGAAAATCTTTAATTAATATTGGACAGTTAGACCCATTTCAGATAAAAACTGATGACATTTTCACTTAGGTACCAATGCTAATAAAAGAGGTTATGTAGTATCTTGTTTTTGTTTTCTGACAAAGCTTTGCAAGATATTTCATAAGGGGCATTCCCTGCCAAACTTGAAGCTAACCAGAGAAGCGTGAACACATCTAAGTCAATATAGATTTAAAGAATTTGAGGACTCCGGACTAAAACCAACAGGGAGCTCTGACCCTTCCTTACCTGTTTCATTTGTGACCCCCCTTCATATTTAAGGAAGTAAGCTAACTATTATTTAATTTAATATCCATTGACATTTTACAGGTTACTGATTGCATTCAAGAACCTTTTGAGAAGTATAGAAAACTTTGGCATCTCAATGGTCTACGGCATTAACTACTTTGGTGCAGGAAACTTACACGGAAAAAGCTACATCAAATTTGTAAAACACTCCTTCATTGGACAAGATGTTCTCAACGCAACATTCCACTACGTACCTCAACTGCGACATGTCTACTTCAATCTGAACAGAACCATGATGAAGGATATCGACTCCAGGTATTGATAAGATGTTGATTACTGAATGCTGGTTATTTAATGGAATAAACTATGCCAAAATATTAAAATCGAGTTTAGTTTGGAAATCAGTTCAGAATTTGGATTATTATATGTGTTAATTGAATGGCTGTGTTCACGAATAATTTAAATAAAGGAAAACTGAATGTGATAACTGTCAAAAGAGCTTCTCCTTTTTAACAAAATTGTAGAATCAAAAGCAGAGAGAAGGGTATGGACAATAGAAATGTGTTATTTAATATGTAGCCTTAAAATCAGTTTTTAGGACAAAATCTTTAAATGATTTTTTTTTTTTTTTTTTTGCTTACTGTGTTCTTGAGCAAGAACATTGGGAACAAAAGAATTAATTTGAATTGAAATTAATTTAAATTTCAAGTTCTTGAACTTGGAATAGCCCATAACAAAATCTTAATCAAAATCAAAAGCATGATATACCAAAACCATAGTGTTTTTTACTTCGTTATTCTTGATTCATTTGTAAAAAATCATTTAATGTATGTATACATACAAGGTCGAAAAAACAGCTTGCATGAAATCCCTCGCAAAGAACGCAAAGGCTTTCACTTTATGCTTCTAACATAAAAACACCTACTTCTCAAGTGTAGAGTCAAATAAAATCTTTTACTCAGTTTTGAATTTAGACGAATCTAAAAAAGGGGAAGGGGTAATACCAATACAAGCATTGCACATATTTCAAAGACATATTGTTCCAGGAGACAAGAGATTCTAGGAAATGAACCAATGAAGCCAAATGTGGAACAAGCAAAGGATTATTTTGATCTGATGGCCAACTATGCTACTGAGCTGCGGAAACTGCAAGGACACATCCGACAGGATATTAGGTAAGGACAAATGATTCCACAACCATGAAACGCCAGAGAATTGATAAAAACTTTGTATCAATCAAATATATTTCAAATGTTTCCAACTTTATTGATGATAGAACCTCATTATTACCGCTAACGGGGCCCAAAAACTAAGTGGTAGCGTAGTAAACCAATGAGCCAAACATATTGCAGACATGATTGACTATACAGTAGCTTAATCTGGCATGGTAGTTCATAAGTTATACAGTAATCTGGCTTGGTAGTTCATAAGTTATACAGTAATCTGGCATCCAATGGTCCGGGATCGGACATTCTGGACATTTATACAGGGTGATCAACTCAAGGAGGCCACCATTGGGATATCGGAAACGGTAAGAATTAGAGACAACTTTAAATGGGGGACATTCCTTTATTTTTTGTGGCAGTTAAAAATATGATTTTGTCTTTTCAAAATTCAGCCGCCATTTTGGAAAATGGCGGCCAACTTTAAAATTTCTTATAGAACACCCTATATTTTATCTTGTTTTCGGATAGAACAGGCAATTTTAAAACTTTTTTATTCTTGACAATTTTTCGATAAACCCACTCGTTTAGGAGTTACAGCCTATGGAAAAATGACTTCCGGTGTACATTTTACATCATGTAGCTCCTAAACGAGTAGGTTTATAGCGAAAATGCAAAAAGTAAATAAGTCAAATAATTCTTAAAATTGCATCCACATTCCAAAAAGACGATAAAACTCGTTAAAACTATTAATTCTATTATGTACAAAATGGCGGCCATTTTCCAAAATGGCGGCAAACTTGAAAAGCAGAAAACTGTGTATTTTATGGTATTTATGGAATGTGGATGCAATATCGGACTTCTTAGACTTATTTACTCTTCGCATTTTCGCTATAAACCTACTCGTTTAGGAGCTACATGATGTAAAATGTACACCGGAAGTCATTTTTTCCATAGGCTGTAACTCCTAAAGGAGTGGGTTTATCGAAAAAATGTCAGGAATAAAAAAGTTTTTAAATTGCCTGTTCTATCCGAAAACATGATAAAATATAGGGTGTTATATAAGAAATTACAAAGTTGGCCGCCATTTTCCAAAATGGCGGCTGAATTTTGAAAAGACAAAATCATATTTTTAACTGCCACAAAAAATAAAGGAATGTCCCCCATTTAAAGTTGTCTCTAATTCTTAGGTACCGTTTCCGATATCCCAATGGTGGCCTCCTTGAGTTGATCACCCTGTATAATGTCATATACATATAACCTATTATTGTTATTCTACATTTTTTTCTACAGATCCGGTTTCTTTTCTTTATATCTTTGGCAAGCCTATGAATATTTGATACATTAGGTACCTAATGGAATCTCACCTGGAAACTTATTTTTAAACCATTCTCTGCAAAAAAAAACAATGATTTATATTCAAATTCAACGTATTCTTCTACAGTACCGTACATACACTATTTTGAGCATGTGAAAATACCATATTGAGTCTTATTTGCAATAAATTCCCAATAACACTGTAAGTAGTAGTGTTTTCTGAAAGAGCAAAGAAAATTATATCTGTTTATGTGCTTATTTGTGCATTTTCATTAATTTTGATCAGTTTAAGTAAGCCTGTTGTTAAACCTATTTTTAAACCTAACTTAACCTGTTGTTTCTTTTGTCAGGACCATTCATTAACTCATATTGTGAAATTTTAAAACTATACCATACTATACTTTTTAGGGAGTATGTGAATAACACATTGATTGATGCCAAGAGTAAGGAGCTGATGGGGATATTCCTTCTTGGTCTGGTTCTTCTCATTTCTCCAATAATCATCATACTTGTTCGGAAAGCTGTGGCAACAATTCAGGTGACTATTGATATTTTTTCAATCTAAATTTTGAGTATATTGTACCCTATTTTACAGATAAGGATAAGAGTTGAATAAATTTGATAATAACCTAATTAGTCAGCTGTTTCATAAGTCAGAATCATTAAAAGCCACAAGCTGTTGGATTAAGTTTTGAACCATAAATCTTTTTTTACACAAGCACAACAACAGGTATAATGCAACCATACATTTATGGACATTTTGTTATTCAGTATAGAATAATAGTGTTAATGAGGTGATTATCACAGATGTATGCGAGTCACCTACAAGAAAAAGCAAGCGAACTGAAAAAGGAGAAAAGAAAAAGCGACATGCTTCTTTACCAGATGTTACCTCCAAGTGTTGCCATGCAGCTGAAGCAGAATGAGCAGGTAAATATTATAATGTTTGTGAATTGGAATACTAAATGCATTTACAATTTTTAAGGTAGAACCTCTTCTTTAGTGAACATGTTTGATGACTGATTAGTTTATCTTTAAACAACAGCTAGGCAAGAATGTAATTTCCTTCAAAAACTTTTGATTTTATTGACTATCTAATATGAGCAAATCCTATAATACACTTACATGTAAATACATTGTAATTTTTATTTTTCCTCATACTGCAGCAAAAACAGCTATTCCTGAAACATGTGTTGCAGCATATATAGATTAAAGGCAGCGGTGCAGTTGTGAATTTCACAGATTAGGAACGCTCACCATTTTCAAAAAAACTGACTTAGATTTATAAATATAGGATTCTTGAAAAAAAAAACAGACGGTGCTCCCGCCCCACTACACCTCTGATTAATGTGGTCTTAAGTAGCTGTTTTACTTCCTAAGGAGTAAAAAGCCTTTTTAGTACCTAGAAGTAAAAGTCAGCCGTTGTATCGAAAGCAAGCGCATATCTCGAAATTATGTATCGATTAATTACATCGGTCATAGCTTATTGTTGCATTCTTGTCAATAGTTTGACATATCGGTAGCATAATGTACACAATAGTAATAGACGATATAATTTTATTACTTACTAAACAGTTGCTTATTTGCATTGGCGAAATCATAGACAAATAGAATTAAATATAGAAAGAAATACAGAAGTGCTGTGGTTAGCATAAGTTCTGGCGTCCACCGCTAGGAGTGCCGTGTAGTTATGTAGCATGCGCGCCATAACTACACGGCAATCCTGTTGGTCTATATTTAATTCAATTTAGAATATACACAATATACACAATATTTGATACATTAGGTAATGGAATCTCACCTGGAAACTTATTTTTAAACCATTCTCTGCAAAAAAAAAACAATGATTTATATTCAAATTCAACGTATTCTTCTACAGTACCGTACATACACTATTTTGAGCATGTGAAAATACCATATTGAGTCTTATTTGCAATAAATTCCCAATAACACTGTAAGTAGTAGGTTGTTGTATTAATAGTCAAAGGTAGTAGTGTTTTCTGAAAGAAAAAATGTTATACTATCTAGAATCTATGGCCCTTTTTTGTTAACGAGGTCTATTGTAACATATGTTATTTAATGACCAATAAAGATTTATGATTTAATTATATTTGTCTATGGCGAAATTGAAAACAAAGTTGGAAGAGAGGTTATCTTTACATAAAAAGTATTTTTGTTTTCCAAATTAGTTTGTTAAATAATGTTGCAATATGATAAAAATATAGTTCATCACACGGGTAAAAAGTGTCTTTTCAACCCTCGCTCATTTCCAACCTCCGCAAAGCTCGTGTCAAAAAGATTCACTTTAACGCCATCCCCGGTGATGATACCAATTAATACTATTGGCTGAGACTAACTTTGAAATATCTATATAGAACAAGCTACAGTACTGTTATATGAAAAGAAGAAATGGTTACCAAATAAATTATTAATGTATTAGGCTAACTCCATTATTTAATAGCATTGAACTTGAATTTGTTGCATTCTTTTGTGACAAAACCTTGTGTATAATTTCATTAAACTTCTGTTATAGGTACCAGCTGAGTACTATGCCTCTGTAACTATTTACTTCAGTGATATTGTCGGCTTCACAAAAATAGCAGCAGAAAGTACACCATTGGAGGTAAATTGCACGGATGAAAAATATGATTGGATAATATGTGCATCAAAAACATTATTGAGCTTATAAATAACAGTGAATATTGACAATAAGATAGTTCTGGATCTGTTTAATGTATGAGTATGAACATATCTAGACACTTTCCATCTCATGTTAAAGTTTTTTCAAGTTTTAGAATGAATATAAAAGTAGTGCAATTGAGCCACCAGCAAAGTGTGTTGCCGTCTGTTATTGATTTTTTTGTTCGTATTTATGCCAGTGGCATTTTAGTAATGAAGTCAAGTCAAACAGTTTTAAGGGAAAGCGGTCCAAATCCATTAAATGTTTTGTTTCTGTTGCTTACACCGACATTTTAAGCAAATTCAACTGATAGTAAACTTTGGCAATGTATATCATACTAGCTGGCCTGACAGACGTCGTCCTGTCCTAATGAGGTTTTATGTCAAATGGTCGTTCATTTTCAAGATGAGCTTGTTGGCATCACTCGAAGTCTGACGCAATTTTATTTTTGATTGTTGTTATAGGCACTATAGTTAAAATGAAAATACATGTTGTCGCCCTCCAGCGTGGTCCACACATACCCGGGGGGAGGGGGTGAATATGGCAAGGGGTGCCGCTTACTGCTTATAACTCAAGAACCGGTTTAGCTATAACATTGCAACAAGCGCCAATTTACTCATAAAAAAATTACCATTAAAATGTTGTAATGTTTGAATTTGTGTCTTAGTTCTTTTTTTAGTAATAGCATATTGTTTTATACTGAAGCGTAAATATTCAATAAATTGCAAAAACCAGTTATTTTGTAATACAAAAATAAAATTGAATATAGAAATTCAAGCGATTAGATTTCAGATTATAAGTGTAGACTATGACATGGTCAAGTGCCAATACGTGTCAATTAGCCCATGGAATTTATAATTTTTATTATTACTTTTATCAGTACCGGTATTTTTAATTACACTCGGTACGGATCGTATGCTTGATGACGATGTATGGAGATATTTTTTCTCAATTTACCTGGATGTTTATATTATCTTATTACTCATGGGGATTTACCTCCAAAACATGTTTCTTTAGCACAATACGAGCATCATTTCATCCGATCACAATTACTCATTACTGTGCTCGTCATGGTAAACAAAATTTCTCTTATTCATCAACAGAGATAAACCTAAAAAGCAATGATTAGGAATTAATGTTAACTCAGTCCTCACTGTACTTTTGTTTTGTAATTATATAAACCATGAATGTTATTTTATGCTACAGGTTGTAACCTTCCTCAACTCAATCTACAACATGTTTGATGAACGTATAGAGTGTTACGACGTGTACAAAGTTGAAACCATAGGGGACTCTTACATGGTCGCCTCTGGCCTACCTGTCAAAAATGGTAGGTTTTGTTTGATTAAAAGTGTGTTTTTATCTATATACTAGGAATAAAGATTTGAATTCAACGAGTGCATTGAAAAATGTTTTAGTACCAGTAGGCTATAGTAAAAGAAGTGATAACTTGATAACATTATGCTTAAGTGGCCCAGGATCACTTGTTAATTGAATAGTTTATATTTCCTGACCGTCAGTATGATCCTACTGTAATCTATGACGAGCGGATTGTGATATGAAAATCTCATGATGGGTAGCTTATAGGGTTCCCAGGGACCCTCCATCAAAAAAGAGGACAAAATTACTCACCAAGGGTAGTACCTAGACATATATTTGGGGGGGGTCACCGGGGGGCCTGGGGGGAAAAATTTGGAAATAACGTGCTAAAATTAGTACTTTTTAAGCTATTTTGAGGACCTAGTTTAATGTGTTCAAGCTTCCCAGTTTATTTCTTAAAGGTCAAGAAATTTAAAAAAATAAACTTGTACTCGTATAATGTCATGATTTTTTTTTTATTGAGACTTGTGGTTTTAATATCAAAGGAATACCGCAACATTACAACACATTCAAGCATGTTTGATTTACAAAAACACCCTGGTGCCAATGTGCATGCTAAACAGAAATTGTCCAAAATCAGACCATGATTTTGAACCAGAGAACTTATTTTATCTAAGAAGTGTTTAAGAACTAGCACCCAACACGACTGCATTATACCTGCCCAGCAAGCAACAGTTCATGTCGACCACGCTTAAAACAAGTAAACTTTTCTTTCAACTTTTCTGAAAATACACATTTCCTTTTCGGCATTAGGGTAGGCCCTAGGGACGATCAACACGGACAAATTAAAAAGTAAGATAATTATTTTTTAAGTAGGCATGTAACATGTGACGTAAAGTAAGCAAGTAAGCAGACGAAGAGCTAGTCACTGGTCGACGGCCGACGGTCGCTAGTATGCTACTGGCCTGGCAAACTGGCTACTAGTGAGCAGAGTTATTCAGTTTCGCCTTCCGTTCTGTTTTGTTCTACAGTATTTCCAATGGATTCTAGCGTACGTTATACACGAAATTTGACCTAAAGAAAGAGGAAATGACACTTTTATACGTAAGATATTATTAAAGTGTAGCATTTTAACTTAGTTTAATGTTATGATGACCAATTATTATAAAAGCTGATTGCTAATATTAATACTTGTAGAAATATTTTTTTATTTTCTCACAAAGTCAAAATCCCGGACATTTCAAAGTATAGCCAAAAATCCCCCCGGACGTTTTTTTTTTGTACCCAAAAAGAGGACGTGTCCGGGAAAAAGAGGACGTCTGGGATCCCTAGTAGCTTAGAACAATTCATTTCATTCAAGTTGAGGTCGTCAGTGAACAAACAGCCATTGTAAAAATTCACAGCCCAAACATTTCCTGTTAAACTTTATGTTTTCAAGTGTTTTCATTTTTAAGTTTTATGTTCGAGTTTTAGTTTTCGACGATTTCAAATTGAGTGAATTAACATTTTTCTAATCTGCCTGATGATGATATTTTCATCTCGAAATCAGTCGCCATAAACTACAGTAGGATTATGACGGACAGGTAATTTAAACCATTCAATTTGTTCACAACACTGCAATATTTTTAAGCCAGCCTGCATTTGAAATAATAGCTTATTTTAAATTAGTATCGAGTGTAGACTGTAGAGGTTGGTTTTATAAATCAGCGGCTCACCCTAAACCCTTTATACATCTATAAGCAGCTTCCCTCACACCTCGACGACTCCGTTTCTTTGTGGTAAAGTATTTTTCTTTAGGCAAACGCCATGTGTCGGAGATTGCGACTATGGCACTAGACCTTTTGGCTGGCTCCCTCCACTTCCCTGTGCCGCACAGACCCGCTGAGCATCTACAGATCCGCAGTGGTATCCACACAGGGCCCGTCGTGGCGGGGATTGTGGGCAGCAAGATGCCCCGCTATTGTCTCTTCGGAGACACCGTCAACACTGCTTCTCGTATGGAATCCACAGGGGAAGGTTTGTGTTCTCGAGCTTAACCATTGACTTTTAGATGCTTAAGTAAACATCTCATCTGTAGAGGCCGGCTGCAGTAGTTGTTTTATTCAACTAGAACCTTTGACAATTGATATGATATAAGTATAGACATTCCATTCCCAAGCTAAAAAGTTGTTGCCATTTTTAGAATAAAAATTAATAGTTTTATATTGAGCCACACGTAAAAGTAATTTGTTACCTTTCTCGTATTTCAGTGATGAAACAAATTTAGATAAACATGAGAAAATGTACAAATCTGTTGCTCACAAGTTGTTGATTAAGTATTGTGTAATCTAAGAGATTCAGTCAATTTAATTTTCAATGTATCTCTCTACGCATTAGGCATTCATGAATATATTTTTTTGATAACAGGATCCAACAATAGTTTAACTGTGGGTTGGGACTAGATTATAACTGGTAGACTTAATTTAATAGTAGTAATTTTTATAAATCCCCTTTTTTCAGCTCTGAAAATTCACATCAGTTTAGAAATGAAGAAGGCATTGGATGATGTTGGGGGCTTCCGAACTGAGCATAGAGGATATGTAGACATAAAAGTAAGTTTCAGGAATTTACATTTAGCATGTCACAGAGGACTGTTGTAGACAAAGGTTGTTAGATAATGAGACAAATTCAATCATATTAAAGTGGTACCACCATTGACTTAAACCGTTTTGTTTGTTTCTAAACAATACTTGAATGATGAAAACAGAACCAAGGTAACTTTAAGTCACTTATTCTAGAGTCTAAGAGATGTGCCTTTTAGTATGTTAATGTTTTTAAAGCATATGTTATTTGTACTAGAAATCTATATACGTAACTAGCTGTATTTCACCTCGTAAGTCATTATAATTGTATTTTCTGTTTCTAACATGTCATAATTTCACAATAGACTGTGTCCTGTACTAAATCCCCCACATTGTTTTGTCAGCTGTGGCTGTAGTTGAGAAGGCAGTGGTTACTGAGGGCGGGGATGATCAGTGGTGGGGAGAGGGAATTCATATTGATAATCCACATGAGTTGTCCCAGTGAATAATGATGCATTGCAATTGTCGATACACTTGATGAATGTAATGGGCATGTGTTGTTTATACTGATACCTTGGACATCCATATGTTGTTAGGAAACATCATTGATCAAGTCTAATGACAAATAGTGAATTTGTCATTTATCCTCTACATAATTGAATGAGCAACCTTCAGATCTGAGAAGGAGCACTCTAGTCACTCTGCATTCGGTTAATCACTCGGCGGTTAAATTACTTTTTTAATGATTTCAGGGCAAAGGAGTGCTGGATACTTATTGGCTGACTTGCAAAGAAGGAGTGATGGCTTCTAGTGACAAGGAAAAACTCTGTCTGGAGTATTCGTATCAAGTTTGACATATTGATTGAATCTTAAATAATAATGTCCTCCATGATTTAAATCACAACGCTACTGCTACTGGATGGATTTTAGCAGTATGTAAATTTTTAAAGTGTAATGTAGCTGTGAAAAAACTGTAAGGAAATATTCCTCGGCTTCTCCAATTGCCTTGAAAGTTACAGAATACAGAGGATGAAGATATTATGTATTTTTTAACCCCTTTATGACAAAGGGTTATTTAAAGTTCCATATAGTTTGAAGATTCCATTAGGTATTTAAAACAGTGTTATAACATTTTAATTTTTAAGTCTCTTGTAAGGGTACAGTCCAGACCTTAGTCATGTTATTTATAACACCAACCCTCTGTTAACTTACAGTTCCTTTACGATCTAATTTATAATTTTGTTGCGTTTTAGGCATCAAACAACTATGTAGTTAAATATTAGTGATATAATATAATAAACTGTCGTTACTGTGAGTGTGTTCATGAACAAAATAAGTTCCAACAAATTAAGTTAATGTGTAAATGTGATGTTTACTATACATATTTATTTCTATTCTAGTCATTGGTATACATGTATACAATATTTTGGAGTTCTATATATCTAATAAAATATTTATGTTTTAAAATATATATTTGTACAGTATATTGAAGTTTTGTTTGAGTGTTTACCCATGATGAATGTGTGTGTGTGTTTTTTTTTTTTTGCACAGATTTGTTGCTTAATGAAAGTTACTGTTAAATGTTTGTAAGAAGAGAAAAATGTAAGAAATTCAAATACTGAACTCTAATTCTGGTGGAACGAAAAGCTGTTTGTTATTATAAGTTGCACATGTTGAGTGTTTTAAAAACATAGATAGATAACTTAGAGATTATATTGATTCATCAATACTGTCATTTGTGACACATGATTAATTACTTAATTTCTTCCCCTATTTACGTATTTGTGATTTAGTTATTAACAACCATTATATAAATATAATCGTTAAAAGTGAAGAGTTGGGGAAATGTTGAAAAATACAATATCAAAGATTAGAAAATTAATTATTCTAAATCAATATAAGTCCAAACTTAAGTAATCCTAAATAAGGAGTAATCCTGTTTTGAAGCACTTATAAGTAATTGACTAATTACACTCAAAATATACTCTTACAAAGTCATATTTTCAAATTCATAACTTATAGAAAGAGTAACTCTTATTACATAAGACCATGTAAGACATATGTAGAGAGTAGGCCTATGTATCTCTAGATTAAGTAACAAAATTCAAAATTCTTAGATTCTAAATCTATTCTGTTCATATTTAAACAGTATTTTAACTTAAGAAAACCTGTGCCGAATTCAGGTACAAGTTATCCTCAGTCTGTATATAGTGTTTACAAAATAATATAATTATCGTACTGTCGTTAACTAAAACACAAGTCAGGTACCTTATCAGGTAAATGTAGTTTGCTTCAATAACACATTTGTTTTAAAACATTTCTTCGCTGTCTTTAAATAAATCTTTCTTGCTCCAAACATATACGCCTCCTCTCTTCCGGAACATCTTTTCATCGAATCCACTAGCATTCAGAGCGTTGTGGACACCAACGTCCAAGAGAGACCTAGACGGTTTCTTAGCTCCATCTCTACAGTCCAAAAACCGCATCTGAAAAGAAAACATATTGGCATTAAATATTAAGATATAACAATAACATTGGGATTACATGAGTTAAAAAAATTTTTGTTGCAATAAAAAACATGCCCATGTAACGACTTATCCTTAACTCATTGGCAGTGACTTATGAGCGTTACTCGTCTGGCCGCTGCAGGCCCAAAATCCGACTCACAAGCCTAGCTAATTTTTTTTTTTTTACTTTTATGATGTCTATAAATATCTTGCTTTGTTTTTTGCGTATTTAATTATATTTTTGGGAATGAAAGGTTGTGTTGCCATGGAAACCAGATATCACCCAAAATAAGCCGTGGTAAGGTAAAACAAAAAACTTTTTCCTATGTTATTACTTATAAAAGTAAACAACTTGTAATTTTTCTACGTAGGGAATCAATTGAACTTTATGATAGTAGTGTCATTTGGTGTCTGGATTAATCTTGGAATTTGTAAATAAAGTTTACTTTAAAAAAAATTATTTTTAAAACTTATTTCTATTTTTTATTATTTTATTTTCTAAATTGTATAACTTTATAATTTTATTTATATAGATTATCCAACTAAACTTTTTTTGTAGACAATTTTATTGTGAACAAAATGGCAAAAAAATTGTTAATTTATTACCTGAGGTTTTCTTTCCATAAAAATTAGAGTTAAAGTCTACAAATTCGGTTAAATTATATAATAATTGCTGACAGAGGGCACTGCAGTCAGCGCATTAATTCCTTCCCCAGTGGGTTAAACCTGCACTACCTATTTAAGAAAAGCAACTATGGATAATATGGATTAAAGAACCAAAATCATAATTGCACCAACCATCAAAACTTATTGTAACTTATATACAAATTATTCATTTTTTTCCGTCTTGTTTTTATTCTAAAACTCGCTTCAACTTTGAAAATGGAATGTCTAGTTCTGCCCATTGTAAAAGGTGCCTTCCTAATAGGCAATATATTATTTAGGATGGATTGAGCATGTGTCACTATATAATTTGAAAGCAAAGCAAAGTTTATATTTTGTATTTTATATTTTCTACAACAACAAAAAATAAAATTGACTATATATCTAGAAAACAGTTCAAATTATAGATCAATCATGGTTAGTGCCAGTACTGTCAGTAACTGCTTGATGTACTCACCAATTCATCCAAAATCAAATAACTGTTTTGCATCTGAAATAAAATTAGTTTTGTTAATTAGTGATACTTTAATACGATTACAAATTAAGAGTTAACGCTAAGTTGGTTACCAAATATCTTCTCCAACTCTAGTTATTCAACTTTGTCTGCAAAGGCAAAGTGGGTATTTTTGTCAAGAAAATTTGTTATAAGTAGGAGAGGTTAATGTTTTATTCATTGTAGTACTTTATTATAGTATTATAGTATTTTATTTGTATTGTACATTGTTTTGTTTTATTTGTATGTTTAGATTTTTATAAACAGGTTAAGTGTAAGAGAGGGCCATGTGGCCCTAACTTTGCCTGACTAAATAAATCATTTTCATTTCATTTCATTTCATTGTATTGTAATATAAATAGCCTCCGGATTGCGAAGAACAACTTGTATCCACAACTAGTTTCGACCTGCTAGGAGGTCATCATCAGGTGTGTACAAGGATAATATGATGATTATTTCACATGAAGGTCGACAGGGTCGTTTTTAACACATAACATTTACACAAACACAAGGCGTGCACACACATACGGCCAATAAAATAAAATAGTAGACACGACGAACAGACCCGGTGTTGGTAATGCAGAAGTCGAGTCTAGACTAACAATTGGCAGAGGCAGCACTACATTAAGGCGACCAAGGCGGTGCCTGGGCCCCCACCCTTTCCAGGGGCCCCGCAGAGCCGTATTCCAGGTATTAAGAGAGCCCCACAATCTCTAGGGCCTCCACTGACAATTGGACAACAATTGGATTGTCTGAATCAGGTATTAAACTATTATTTTAAGGTTAGGTTAGTTATAATTTAAATTTGCATAGTTAGTTTAATTGTAATTGATAATCTTCTTGATGATCTTCTATAAGGGGTTTTTCTAACAAAAAACTTTAATGTTAACTAATATTTCAAAATGTTTTTCAGTTATTGCAACGTTTTAAAGACAAAATCTTGACTTAAATCCCTAAAAGTATTACTACTGGCTTAGTAAGAATAGGAAATCAATTTTTCGTTCCCAGTGGCATAGCCAGGTTTGGAGGTCCTGGACAGAACTTGCTTGAGTGGCCTCTTCCAAAACATCAAACATTACCATATATTTAATATAGTATATTTGTTTCCCTCTTAAGCCGGGTTTTCATAGGCGCGGAAGCAGAGAGCGGAGAGAGGAACGGGGAGAGCGGACTCCACTTGTCTTAGGTAATTTAAGTTACTGTTTTCCTAGAAGCGGAGCGGAACACCATGTTAATCTCTTTTCCGCTCTCCGCTCTCCGCTTCCGTGCCTAGGAAAACCCAGATTTAATGGTCTTTGAGGATGTTTTGTTGATAAGATGAAGCACAACCTACGTCAATATTTTGAATTTATTTTTGAAAGTCCAAACCAGCTGTAACGGTTATTTAGTATTGCCATTCGGGCCAGTGACGTAATTGGTTTATTTTTATGATCCATACCGTTTCAGATCTATATTATTCGAAGAAAGATATAGTTTAGTCTGAAGATTGAGTGCCAAGATATAAGTATAAATTGTTACGTAATATGTAATTTATTGTAAAATAATACTATAGGTACGGTACTTTGTAAAAAGGGCCTAAAACGTCTCCTTTCTATTAAACTAATTACGAACAGCTATTACTGTCATTTAGATGCAAAATGTGAGTCAGCCAATACCAAAACCACCCTACACCTTTAACCCTCCAGTACACGAGCGGCTAATTGTAACACCAGTAAACACGCGGACTGGCATTCCGTGTCTTACTTCTTACTAGAAACGCTCTTTTATGTACCTTATAAAGTTCATATAGCATCAAAATTTCTAATAATCCAAATATAGGTAGGCCTAAATAGTTATAGACAAATTTCAAAAATTAGTTACAATTATTTCAAATTGAAAATGTCCTGTTCAAAACCAATCAGTCAATCGCTGGCCTGTTCTTCATCCTCTTGAAACATGACGCGCCTAACTTTACACCCTCGTAGCTCAGGGCCATTTTTTTTTTTTTTTTTTTTTTTTTGTCCTAAGGACGCTAGGCACGAGCCTGGGATTGTTTTTCACATTACTTCAGGCTAGACCTAGGGGTTGCGGCATTATCACTTAGATCCATTGGTGACTTGGCGGGGATCGAACCCGGGACCTCAGGGACCGAAGTCCCGCGCTCTAACCACTACGCCAACTCGCTCCCCGGTAGCTCAGGGCCATTAGACGCTAAGACGGTCAAAACACCGCTATTGTAGTGGCCCATGTAGCACAGATGGTTGGGCCAAAGTTGGTAAATTGTGGAGCCACACAGTTGGCCAATGGTAGAAATGTCACCTCTTTAAACTGTTTTCCAGCCAACCATTGTCCAACAATGGCCCAACCATCCAAAAATACTGATGGCCAACTAACCATAACACAACTGATATCCAACCAACCGTTTTATTTCACACAAAATAATAAAGATTTAGTACGAAAAGCATAATTATTAGTTGAGTAAATTGATTAAATAGTTCATAAAAACAAATTTTGAAAAAAAAGCTAGAACAAAATTTTTTGGCCCAGACGGGTCTCGAACCCAGGTCCTTCAACTTATTAGCCTCTTACCTTACCACTGAGCTATCTGTGATTGTTGATATAGAGAGTTTTCAAGTGGTGAAAGAGTAGCCGACAGTTGCAATGGTCGCAATACTTCAAACATTTTTGATACTTCACAGTATAATATGATTCTGTTAATCTGTTAAGGCATCATAAGTAGTTTTTTTTTTTTTTGAGTTAGAGAGGATACTGGTATTTGAATATAGATTAATTAATTACCGTTAGATTATTAATGCTATTATAATTGACTGTTATATGACTCTTTCCCCTTAATTGTTGCAAATAAGTTAAAGAATATTAATTTAAAAAATATTTGCATTATTATAATTTTTAAAATTCATTGTTGTAGCCCCGGAACTGTAATATAAATAAAATATCTGGTTTTACAATACCTTTATCAGTTCCAAAAACTTTTGGAAACTTTTGGAACTGATAAAGGTATTGTAAAACCAGATATTTTATTATAATTATGTTGTGAAAGCTAGACCCAGAGAATGAAAGTCGTGTAAACTCAACTATGGACCATCGTTGGTCCAACAAAAGTATCTTTTGTTGGTCCAACGGAGTGAAAAACGGTTGGACAACGGTTGGCTTGATGTATGATACCCAGCAATGCATATTAATGTATTTCATTAACAATGAACCAATGTTGGTCCACAGTTGTAAATATTGGTTGGCCCAACTACGAGATATACAGTTGGACAACGGTTGGTTGGTTGTGGAAGCTCCAACCAACCATCGACCAACTGTCCCACAGTTGGCCAACGTTGGCCCAACCATCTGTGCTACATGGGGGGGGGAAGGTGGATGGCACGTCATGTCATTCGCTCGTGGATTTACTTATTTCGGTGCACTTTTTCAAAGACACATATATACATATACTGTATACAAATTTTAACAGATAGTGTTTTGGCCTCTGAGGACATCAAAAATTAAAAATTATTTCGATCCTGGTCTAGGTCTTACTGTGCTCCGTACGGTAATATCTACTTAAATTTGCAAAAACCTAGAAAACATAAAAGAATAGGTCTCTTTGGCGAGAACTTCCTCTGTACTGGAGAACTCACTCCACTAAAAGCTATTGAATAGAATATTATGGTTCCCTTTAGCCAAATGTTCATATCTAAACACATATTCTGTTTGGGCACTATTTCATCACTTTAACCTTTGAAACTTACCTTAGCATTGCTTTCAGGCACTAAACAAGGCAGGTGACTATGCCGCTCTAGAAACTCTTCAAACTCTTCACTGCTAATGACAAACTTTTCCGCATTCCGCAGAGCTTCAGGTCCAGCATTCTCTCCTTCCAGCAACAAACACTGAAACACCTGAAGAAACATTCTATGTTGATAACCTGTCTGAGTGAAGTAGAGTCAAACAGTTTCTGGAATTTATTTTAAGCTATTTATTGTGTGGAAGTTTATTTGCAGTAAGTAGGGGAGGGTGTGGGGGTAAATATTATTACATTTTGTAAGAGTTCAGCTCAGCCACTCTTTACAAGCTGAGAGTGTTCATGGACTTCGGGCCAAAGGCAGCGATGTCGTGGGTTTGGATCCTGGTAACTGTCCCAAACATTTTAACCTACAGTTCACCTACGTACTGTACCGGTTCACCTCTTGCTTTGCTGGATATGTTCCACGCACAGATCTGTAGTCTATGTGGATGGGCAAATGCAAGGAACCTTTTCCCCAACTTATATTGCACCATTTTATCATAGCTTCAAAACCAGACAACTAATTCTGTGAAGCCTTTGTAAAGTTTAATTTAATCATCAATTGAGTATGGTGGTTATGTTATAATCCACCTTCTATGAATCATGTTCGTTCACATTAATAGAACACTCTAGTTCTTCAACTTATCACCGCCGATACACCTTTTATCCTACACTTACATTACTTTTTATCTCAATATTTATAACTCAATCAGACATACAACTTGGCTTTTAATGTTTTAGTGGGTTTGATAAGATAATAGATGCCTCTCGAGCAAAAATGGTCTCAAATTAATATGCAATAAAGATAACAAGTTTAAAATCAATATTTTCGATTTAGTGCTGGAGTTACATTGTTTCACACTCAATACTCTATGTTCTTGTCACTCATCTCCATTCATACTTGGTTTAAAATACCTACCTTAGTTTGATCGCCATTTCAGTTAAAAGTATTAAAGTATTTCACTAATGTCAATGACTCCTAGACCACTGTTACATTTTGTTACAGCTTTGATATAATGTTTAATGAAAATAGAGTATTCTTATTCTTCTGGTCAAATTATCATAAATAGCATTTTTACAAATAAAAATCTGAATAGCAGGGCATTTTGAAAATTGATGACTTAAATGATAATGGAAAGGTTACACATGTCTTGATAATACAGTAAACATTGTTCCTCATATCACTAGGAAGATAGTTTCTAGTACCTAATCATCAACAATAACTCGTCCCCTAATTATATAACCAAACAGTAAAGCACAAATCAATAAAATAACCCTAAAACAATAGAAACTAAATTTTGCCGACACTAGCGCACATAGTGTCACCGTACATGAACTAGACACGAAAAACGAGCTTCAAATTTTGCAATGGGATGAGAAATCTACTTGTGTTGATTAGTCTATGATTGAGGTATGTGCCCTTAGGAAAGGGCTTATCGAAAAACTGATATTTTTTTAAAGAAAGTTTCATATTAAGACTTCGACTCATAAGTAAGACTTCATAAAAGTAAAACTTCCAGTAAGCGGTTGATAGGTGTACAGCTTAAGAGTTTCTCAAAAGTATGTGATACTTATATTAGCTTTATACACTGTATATAGGTAGATTAACCGCAGTGAGTGCTTTGGACTTGTCAAATTATCATTATTGTGTTGATTGGTATGAAGCAAAGAAAATGTTGGCATCCCAATGGTTCTTTGGATTTGTTACTGATATTATTTAATTAGTATTATTTTAAAATTATTTTTAAAAGGTTTATTCCAAACGATCCGTCACATTCTATAAACTACAATTAATTACCTTCCATGTTCACATGAACGGCTGAATTAGATAGTTTATAAATTTAAGATACAAACAAGCACATTACCTTCCATCGTACTGGCCGCAGAATAGCAATACATTCTCCCATATATTCGTCAACATTGTAAGTGTTCACAACGGTGTTGATTTTAAACATTACCTGGCAATCACAAGTAAGAACAACAAATTAAAACATGTTATATTTAAAATATGAATAACAGTACCAGTATGCATATATATCTTCTTAAATGTCATTATTTTTATTTAAAAATGATTATGTAAAAATAAACCATTCTTCTGTTCTAAGTATATATGAGTCTTAATAAGTTAAAATAAGTTTGTAGTTAAAAACTTTTAGGTACGTATGTAATTATGTAATTATTGTAATTTGAAAACACTAAAAAGTATATATGTTGCACACATTCACTCCCATATTTCATTCGGTTTAGCATTATATGGGTCAACAAAAATATTAAATATGGATAGCATTCTGATCTGAAGCGACAAAAAGAAGCTATCAGAATTATGCTTAAGCTTAAACGAGATGATTCGGCAAAAGAACATTTTAAGAAATTACAAATTTTTACAGTTTATGGGCAATATATTTATGAAACAATTCTTATCGCTAAACAAAAATGAATCTGAGCAAGTAATAAATTCAGCGCATTCTTATAATTTTAGGAGAAGGGAGTTTGTCCAGTCTCACAAATAAAAATGTTTGGAATAAAAACCCTCATATGCTGGTAACGATTTTCTAAAATTTGTCCTTGAATTCATAAAAAAAGAAAACCTATCTAGATTCAATAAAATTCTAAAAGAGCATATAATAAATCTAGCATTATATTCTTTTGATGAATTTTTCACCTCCCATAAATAGAAATTGTATTTTTATTTTAAGTATTCTGACACTAATCACTGTACCACCAATGTACATGATTAACGAATAAAGATGTTTGAATATGAATATGAGTTCATCATTATAACAAAAAATGTTTAACCAATTTATTGATAGTAAACTGAAATGATTAAATGAGGAGGCGGAACCGTTATTCTCGATGATGTTTTTTGACTCTGCAAACAATAAGTGTCACTTCTGATGCCGCTCAAGGTTCCATACTTAACCTGGACTTCTACATGTAGAACATTGCCTACAACAGCCTCCAAAGATCTGAAATGCCTGAGGAAACCGTCTTACTTGGGTACGCCGATGACATCACAGCTTTGATAGCTGCGAATGCGCACCATCAACGCATAGACAGCAGAACATAGAGACTCGCATGCTCTGAGTAAAACCTAAAACCGAGATAGGTAGGGATTCTGACCAAAAAACAGATTGACAGTATTGACACCATTGTGTCATTAAGGGTGGTGGACGTCCAAAAATAATGTTTGTATTATTTTCCTAGAAAGGTCTAGCCCTAATCTTTTTGCTAAAGTTCGACTTTGTCACATCCGTGTTACCGGTATGTTTAAATTTGTCACATCCGGTTTGGGTAGGACAATACCACATTTCTTACTACGCCTAAATACTTACATACTCACAGATGCATAAGGTGTTCATATTGGAACATTTACCTTATACTTTTCGCACCAGTCTCTTATTTGCTTTAACTTTTGTACGTGGTTTCGCCCTTGTCCACGACCAATCTTCTTATTTGTCTCTTCATCAAAAGAATCACAAGAAATTGCCAAAATATCCAAGTATAATCCTACAAAATGCAATAAGACGAATGTCACTGATGTTTAAACCACATTTACTATTATTGTTCCTAAAAAAAATTAAATGAAAAAGGAAATAGTGCTTGTTGGCTTTGGAAAAATTAGGAAATAGTCTTTAAGTAAACTTGAGGGCAATCCCAAACCAGTGTAGTAGCAACTATATTTAAATAAATTTAAAATTATTAATTGATATGAAAGTTTTGAAGCACGGATCAGTTTTGAATTGACCAAACTGCCTGTTTGTACTGTAGCAAGATAAATACAGTAGAACCTCTTTAATCCGAAAATCTTAAAAATCTAAAAATCTTAAGCTCAATCTATCCAGTAGCGAGTTTTCGGACCCAGTCCTTCAACCCACCACTGGATAGGTTTAAGAACCCTGTCAAGGGGGGGGGGGCAACCTAGGGGTTTGACACCCCCCCAAGAAAAGAACTGGGTTTGGGGCTCCTCCGCTGGAAAATTTGGCATTTTTAAAGCCGTTACAGCCATTTTTAACATCTGGAAAACTGTATCCAGAAAACCACAGTTACAATTTTAGGACAAAATTTATGTTTAAATTGATTATTCCAGGGCCCATTGGGGTGAATTTTAGCACCTGTAGCCCCCCCCCCCTCCTTGGAACCACCACCAATTATCCACAAAACAACAGATTTTCTTAATAGAGAAATAAATAGCTTAGGTGAGAAAACCCATCTCTATATCTTCTCCCGGGAAAAGCCATGACTTTTAACTGTAAATATACACTAAAATATATATTCTAATAATTATGATGTGTAAAATATCCTCTATAAAATAATTCTAATAGCACAAAAACTGAGAAGCGTGGAAAAAAACAAATAAGTTATGGCATTCATATAATCTATTTGGGTGGATGGGTCAGATCACTAACACCCGACACGGGTAATTAACATTTGTTTGAGTAAAATTAGGATGAGAAAAACTTACCATATTTCTTAAACCATGCCTCCCTTATAAGGCTACCATTGCTCACAATGGATACACTGGGCAACTTTAGGTCTACTTTGCAGTATTTCACTAGAGTACCAAGAAATTCCCCATTTTTGTGAATAAATGGTTCTCCGCCGGAGAAGTTGACCTTTTCCATTCCTAAGAGAGAAAAAACATAATATAGCCTTTAACTAGCTTAGATTTGGTAGAAATGTTTACTCCATTTGAGTAAACTATGTAAGTAAACACCAAAATTAAGGCTATCTCTAAAACCAAAAACATAATCAAGTTAAACTTAGCAAAATGTGTCAAAATCAGGTCTGTTAATTTGTAGCTTGCTGGTTCTAATTAGTGCCTGATTGGATTTACACTAAAATGTCTCCTTAAATATATTACATTTATACCCTATTTAAATACCATTAGTTTAACAAGTACTTAGGTTTGCTTTAACAGGGAGGGTGGTAAAAAATTGTTTTTTGTAAAATTTTAATAGTTTAGTATGAAATGAATCCATTTTCCAAATTTGATCAAAATATGCTCATAAACAAGCAAACTACAACAGTTTACAATTTTCTCCATAAGAATAACATGGTAATTTTAAATTTATAATTTTTGAATTTTCTCCGTAGCCATTAGGCGCAATAATAACGCTCAAATAGGCCTATACTAAATCATTTGTTTTTTAAGCTCTACAAAATGGTTTGGAAAGAAGTTGCTGAATTTGATGTTTTTAGGGCTAAAAATGGGAAAAACCAATTTTTACCCCATTAAACCCCCTATAAACCCCGCTTCCCACAGTCCGATCATGCTGGTTCGCAAACTCCTTCGAATAAACGTAGGTTTACACGTTTCGACGTTTGTACCAAATTTCATCAAAATCGATTGATTTTTGCTCATTATCGCGCTAACGGACACATATATTATATATATATGAATTTGAATGGATAAAAATGAATGGATTTGGGCTCTAGGACCTCAGAACGAAAAAGTAAATTGGTCCCGGGTCCAGGTCTTACCATGAGTACTACGGTAATAGCTTATTCCCTATATGGGGAAATCGCTAAAAAGGAGTTAAAAAATCTTAAAAATTGTATTCTCCTTATTTTTAACCCTGAGATCCCCATAACCTGGCATTTCACAAACTCGGCACCCTTCCAGTCCACATTACTGTACGCCGAGTTTGCGGGACTCTACTAATTTGGTTTAAGTTATTTAAGTATTGAATCGTTGTTTTGAGTAGGTAGGTACATTTTAAGTTACGGTTTTGTTAAATTTACACTGATTAAACGCCTAATAAGTTAAGTATGGTACACACACTTCAACCTTCTAAGTTAAGTTAGTAGCCTAGTCGTAACTTACTCGTTAAACTTAATTTCATTCAAATGGGGAATAAATCTGATATGGTTAAGGAAATTTTATTTTTTTACAATCAGACAAAGGGAATTTACTTAGTAGGCCTACGCAGGTTTGCTGTATTTTTATAAGGTATTTAGAATTTGCCTAGGTTCCAGTTTATAAGTAAGATATGGCTAGGGAAGTAACTTAAAACTTTTAAACGGTAATTAAATGTTAAATTGGTTATAACTTATTACCTGCATCTTTTAACAGCTTCAGTCCATGTTTGGCTTTCTCCACAGGCAAAACAACCGAATTTTTAGCAGTGTGAAAACAAAATCCACACTGGTAATTGCACTGTCTTGTAAAATGATAGTTAACACTCTTAGGAACCATGTTTTGACTACCAGTTTCTGCATTTTTAATATCCACAGGTTCATAGTAGTGTTTAAACCACTTCAAAAGAAAAATATAAACCTGAACCATAAAGTGCCAAAGTTCAACAAACATTTTCACTTATTCCTACTCCCTATCACAAAAAACACTTTTTAATAAATTGTAAATAGGCCTAAGAAGTTATGTTACAAATAATCATAACTTAAGATCAAATTGAGTACAGAGTCAAAACATTCCTCCTTGGTGGCAAAGCAGGGATTGTGCAATACTGTATTGGTACTTCTGCCTCAACACAGCACTTATTGCAATTGCAAAATGAATCATCTGCATATTTTTCGAGCTTGAAACTGGGGACGGGAAGTACAGAGTTTTTTTCTTCTTCTTTACTTACCACAAAGATACCAGTACACCACACAGACTACGTCACAACGTCAGGTATGCCAAAATAAGAATGTGAAAGGTCGTTTTAAATTTTTCGCACCAAAAGCGATTCTACCAATCTAGATAAAATGCTAGAAAAAGTCAGACGATTTAATTATATATATTATAATTGTCATTCATGTTAAAGCGTCAAGGAAGCTAAATTATCTTCTTGAGTATGAATTTGCACATACACTTTATTTAAAAGACTTTTCGACAACCACAAAATAAAATATACCTACTAAGAATTATAAACGGTAAATATATTAATGAACATGATTTTTTGTAGTGTAGACCATTGATTAAACATACTCCCTCTTTTCGGTTGGTCTATCTATGGATAAAACTGGTTAGATATCTAACCATGTTTTATCTATGGTTAGACATATAAACATTACATTACATTATTTGTCATGAGAGCCGAAGCCCCCTGACTGCATACCCGGTACCTATCCTTTAGGACATACCCGGGCCCCATGATGTAGGCCGAAGCTTACGCATCAACCTTTAGCACATCATGGGCGGATGACTTAAGGTCATCAGGCTCGCCGGCTGCCGAAGCAGACCCTTCGGAAGGAGGGTTGCCCCTCAATCCTAACCAGGGATTCCGGCTGCTTGTTTAAGCGTCACTCCACCTGGGTTCCACTAGGTCAGGACCTAGAGGTCCATGGTAGAGCGCCCCGACGCATTTAGTGCAAGCAACACTCGGGACCTATCTAATCCCTAACAGGCAGAACCCGCCATCAATAGCCAGGAGGAAGGGGACCGTCAGCACGCTGACGGGGGGAACCCCAACCTCCCATTTACACCACTACCCGATCGAGGCCTTACCCATTGCTGGGAAACCAGAGATAACCAGAGCGATAGATCCCCAGATACCCCTGGCGGGCTCGGACCCAGCACCCGATCTACTTCGTTTGCCCGTCAGACCCAACATCACTGCCAGGCCATCAGGGTTTCCCAAAAGGAGGCAGGTATAGAAGTGGGACCCACCCGGATGAACCAATCCACCAGAGGTGGCGACACCCTTGACTCAATTGAGGTTCCGGGAAGAACCCCCCACACTCAAGATAACCATACCGTCCGTACTCAGAGACAGGGATTGGTTTGCATAAGTGCCTACAAACCGTTGCCCTCACACTGCGGAAAGTTACGTTGCCCTTGAGTGTCCCCGTGAGCTACGGGTACTTGCCCGTTTTCACCTCCAGGAAAGGTTACTTCCAAAGTCGAGGATTTGCCCACTGAATGCTGGTCGCACACAACAAGCAGGCCGAAGCCCAAAGAACCACAGACACAGGTAGGTTAGAGATTATGATGCACTTCCATCTCTCCTAGAGCTAAACACCCCTCCATCCTGGATAAAGGAATGTCACTGGGGCCCAATGCCCAGTCGTCCATGTCTGTGGCCTACTTGAAAATGCCGATACCAACACGGAGCATTTACCTCCCCTCTGGGGGCTAGGTATTTCACCTCCCAGGACGAGGCTACTTCCAAAGTCGAGGATATGCCTCACAAAATGTCAGTCGTACACAACAGGTAGGACTCAGTCACAACCACAAGCTACAGGCAGGTGAAAGATCTATGAACTTAATCAACACTAGCAGAGCTGAACACCCCACCACCCTGAATGGAGGGAATGTCACTGGGTACTCTCACTTTGGGTACAACCCAAAGAGGCTGGCTTGTCCAGTCGTCCATAGCTTGTGGTCTACCTGAAGTGCCGGTTCCAACACCGGGCAATTACCTCCCCTCTGGGAGAGCTAGGGTCCGCGTGGTCGCCCAGGCCACGAACCCACGCAAGCGTGGGCCCCCTGCGGTTAGACATATAAACAGTAATAACAGTGTCATGTGACTCAGTATTGAACTTCTTAGCTTCTAAAGGTGTTTCAGACAGCGAGTGCATCCAATTAAAAACTCGCCACAACTCCTATTGCTCGTTCAAAGTGGGAGTTCCTTCAGATGTAGCTGGTGAGATATTGGACCCTAGCTTTTGGCCTAGTGGAGTGTTGGTGAGAGCATTTCTGCCATCGAGTCGGGAGCCTGGGGGAAACGAGGCTTAGGCATTAAGCAACCTAATGAAAATTTTAGTGTAAGCCTAGGTCCACACACAGACAATATTGGCTCTAACCTACCCCAACATTCTGTGACCATTGCAAATCTGAATGTCCAGTGTCTTAGGACTAAGTCTGCCCTAGTTTCCTTATTTGTCAATGAAGTGGATTGCGATTTTTGTGCATAACTGAATACTGGTTAGACAGAGTTGAATGTGACTTCTACAATTGCCTTGATAAACTTCAATTAGTAAGTGTCTACTGCCGTACAGAACACAAAAATGGGGGAGTGGCAATTTTTGCGGCTGCTGCTTTCACCTATAAGAATATCGATCTGACCGGATTTTGTGTTGAGCTAGTTCTCGAACTGACGGCTATTGAGATAGTGGATATTTCCACTATCCTAATATGTGTATATAGGTCTCCGGACGGAGCTTTTGAATCTTTTATCTACCAGCTCGAACTCTGCCTCGACTATATCTCAGCAGACTTTGTCCGAGGAAACTTGTTATCTGTGGGGACTTTAATGTTCACCTTGAGCACCAATCTAGGGAGGAAGCTACTTTTGTCAACTTATTGCGAAGCTACGCTCTATGTAACTTCGAGACTTCCAACCCGTGGACTGGCTTGTTTGGATGCAACAGCCACTAACATAGACTCCTGGGACTATGAGGTAAAAGTGGTGAGTTCTCTGTGGTTGCCGACCATGATGGAGCAGTTCTCTTGAAGATCAAGGCTGATGAGGTAAGGTCAAATACTTCCTATGCTGATAAGAACGTATCCACTAAGAGATTTATTGATAAGGATAACCTGCCTTTGCTCATAGATGAATTAAGTGTGGACTGGAACTGTTTAGGCCTACAACTCGCTACAGAGCCTAATACTGCATTCAGGTTATTTCTCGACTTGTTCTAGGATAAGGTTGATGTAGTGTGTATCCGGTGAAACCCTATAAACTTGGTAGTAAAAAGACTAAATGTACAGCCATTGACAAATCCTGGTACTCCTCAGACCTTAGGAAATTGCGTTCCTTAGTGATCTTAGTGCATGATCATTACAAACTTGCTGTTGACCTAAATCAAAAAGTTAAATTCTTTGCTCTATATTCTAAACTAAAGAAAGACTACAGTGCTAAAGTTAAGGAAGTGAAGAAAGTCAGCAATGATGTAAACAAAATATTGAAGGCGTCCAATACTTGTAAGGCTGCGTGGGATGTCGTAAATGAGCACAAGAGGTCCAGCCCTAGCCCTAAGATAACTGCATCCCCTGATGTTTTTAATGACTATTTTGTCAGGATAGCTGATCAACAACCTTTCCTTGTTGCAGCATGAAGATCCGGTTGCTGCAGTCATTGATTATGCCACTAACCACACACTAACAAGTTGGACTGAGATGAGTGAACGTTATATTATAAGTTTAGTGAAGGGCTTCAAAAACTCTGACAGCCAAGCTGTAAATGGTATCTCCTGTTCTATACTAAAAGGTATTATACATCTGATATGTACACCGCTAACTAAGCTAGTTAACTTGTGCTTATTAAAAGGGTCCTTTCCTGAAGTCCTAAAAGTTGCTAGGACCATTTCAATCTTTAAAAAGGGAGATCCCTCGCTCAGATCCGTCTAACTACCGCCCCATATCTATCTTGCCAGTGTTCTCCAAGGTACTTGAGACTGTGATGAAGAGGCAGCTAATTAAATATTTTGAACAACTTATATATAACAACTTGCTTTCGGATGCCCAGCACGGCTTCCGAAGTGGGCGCTCAACTACTACAGCCCTAATATAAATCTGACTGACCTCATCTCAGATGCCTTCGAGTGCAATGACTCAGTCATGCTGAGGTTATGCGATCTGAGTAAGGCGTTCGATGTTGTTTTCCACAACATCCTTCTAGGGAAACTGAAAAAATATGGTATTGGTGGTACAGTGTTGTGCTCTCTGCAGAATTATTTAGAAAATCGTAGGCAATTTGTATCAGTGAACGGAGTATCCTCAAATGTCCAGGTTGTTCCCCATGGCGTTCCTCAAGGTTCGGTGTTAGGCCCTCTACTGTTTAGCATCATGATAAACGACCTTTGGCTAAACGGCTGCACCCTCCTCTTTGCAGACGACACCACCCTGGTGACTAGAGGGAAAGACATTAACCTGTTGAGGGATACAGCGGACGAGTTGCTTGTTGAGGCTAAGTCCTGGTTTGTTGCTAATCGCTTCAAAATAAATGAAGAAAAGACCCAATCATTGATGTGCACCATAGATAAAACATACTCCTTGAGGAGTATGTTTTATCTATGATGTGCACCCTCAAGTCGAGGACTGATCATGGAGGAAGCTGTGAAGTTGCTTGGGTTTCGGCTGGACTCTAGGCTAAACTGGTCTAACCACATTGATAAGGTATGAGTTAGGTTATCCAGAGTTCTCTATCTGCTAAGGAAACTCCGAGATGAAATCACTAAGACCTATCTGATAACCATATACCATGCCTTATTTCATAGCCATTTGGTGTACGGAATAGTGCTCTGGGGACACTCCCCTGCATGCCATGAAATACTTCTGCTGCAAAAAAAAACTGTGAGGGTGATAACATCTAAAGGCCCAAGAGAACATTGCCGACCCAGGATCTTCAAAGAATTGGGAATCCTCACAGTGGTGAGCCAGTATGTACTCAATAGTCTGGTCTTGCTAAAGGAAAACCTTAGTGATTTTGTGACCCGTCGTGATAGGCATGAGTATGGAATAAAAAGGGCCCATGACCTGAATATCAGCTGGATATGCCTCGCTGCCGCTTGAGCCATACCTTAAGGAGATACCCCCGCTCTCGGCTATCAAAATCTAAAACTCCCTTCCAAACCACCTAAGGAACCTCGACTGTACAGCGTTTAAGACCGAGCTGAAGAACTTGCTCACAAATAGGCCGCTGTACAGTCTCGACGAGTTATCAAATGATCCTTTGATGCCATGTTGAGAAACAGACACGCCTACCAAAGCCTAAAGTTTTAGTTTTAAATTTTTAAGTTTTATGATATTTTGTAAAGCAAGTTTTGTATATAATAATTTTGTAAATATTAGTATAACGACGCAATCTATCCGATATACTTCGGTCAAAGATTAAGACAACAAGTATTCAAGTACCGGTAAGTAATAAAGTAAGTACTGTAAGTATAATTCAAAACATCTTGAAATTATAATTAAAAATACCATTATGCACAGATAACGATTAACAACAATATTATTAAGTATCTTGAATGAAATAAAAGGTTTCTTGCCACACAACGAAAGTAAAAATTATGTTTATAGATTAAGGCGAGGCTATTACTCTTCCAACTATTTAAAGTTTATTTTGGCGTGTGTTTCATATTCATTTCAGCCAGGAACTCATTATATTGTGTTGATGTTCAATAATGTCTCTAAACTAAGCTATTAATATTTTACTAAAATACACTTTAATAGCGTCCCTGTAGCAGCAAACATAGGCACTTGTTAAGCTGGATGTTATGTAAATAGATTTAATTGAACATCAAATAAGGCAAATAGAAATTCGCTTAATGTGGAAGTTTGCAGTGGCGGGGGTATTTTTTATTTAATCTCACCGATGTAGGATCCAAGCATTCAAATAAATATTCAAGAAAGCTCTATAAACCACTCAGCTTCTCGATGCCTGAGTTTTACTCTTAACATGCAGCAGAGCAGCAGCAGGGAAGACACGGCCACCACCAAGGTGGCCGTCGGCCGTGAGAGGAGAGCAGCTATGCACTACCCCACAACCGGCCTACCACAGAAAAAAGAGCGGACCAGCCACAGACTACAGAATGAGAATACAGATTGACATACGGGTCGCCGGAAGACTGTCCCCCGGAAAACTACCCCCCCAAGCAGGTTCCTACGTCATATTGACGTCAGAGACCGGGGGGGCAGTTTTCCAGTCATGGACACTCAAATTTAGTTGTCAAACAGTTCTAATCTAACCTAACCTAACCAACCAAACTTGCTGTAACATTTCGAAAATCTGTTTTATATTCACCACATGCCTTTTCTATTATCCAACGGAAGTACTCGAATTAAAATTAAAATTACATATCATGATTTGTCAAGGGGGGTAGTATTCCAGTCGCGGACACGGCTTCCATATTGGTTAGTTAGCAGATTTTGTGACGTCACGTTTCACCTGGGGGGGTAGTTTTCCGGGGGATAGTATTCCGCATCCCCTGACATACAATACATAGGATTAGGATAGGATAGATAAGATAACGATAAACGATAGAGAGCAGAGCAGACGACAAAAATAGTAATGTTGTTATTTGTTATGATTTATTAAAATTAAAAATATTAACTTACTCACGTTATTTTGACCTTCTTCATAGTTTAAGTTGTTAGTTATTGAATATTCAAAAAAATGTGTTTATGATATTAATAACCTACAGTAATTATAGTTATAATCTAAATCTAAATACAATTTGATTTTATAGTATATTACCAACTACCACATTTTAAGTTTTTAACCTAAACCTCACTCAGGTTCAGGTTTACAAAAATCACATGATGTTATGTATGACCAATGTTTCGTTAAATTAAAAGCTGAGTCTGTTATTAATACTATAGAATTTTAGATTTAGCTGAAAGTAAATAACAATCAATGGCTAGTCTTGGAAGTGTTAAAAACCCAGTAAATGTCCGTTCTTTCTCTAATTTCTATGTAACAATCCATGGCAAATATCATCAGCAACAGGTAAGAATATCCAATTTTTACTAAGTTAAATAAATGGACTGAGAACTTGTTTTAACTGATGTTAACCGAGTTACTATTACCATAGACTAACCAACACGTTTTATCTATGCTAGGCTATTACATTACATGATCATACTAATCATGTATTACATATTAATTCCTTGTATATTAGCTAGGCCTATACGTTATTAGCCTATTTTTACATGACAGCTTTTAGCGAATTTCCCTATTGGGAAGTAGGCTAGCTCTAAAGTGGCCGTACATGGCACTGTAAGACCTAGGCCCGGGACCCATTTAATTGGTACTTAAGTATTATACGGAGGCCACCCTTATACAATGCGCTGCGGCGGTTAGGTTTGGTCATCATGAAGCTTGTATGACTTGTCTGGTTCGATTCATAACGAAAGTAGGAAAGTCCTACAAACATATTTATAATAGACCAACCTAACCTAACCACCGCAGCGCGCTGTAAAATAAGTGGCCTCCGTATAATACGTAAGTACCATTTAATTTTTCATTTTGATGTCCCCATAGGCCAAAAACGACATTCGCTAAAATTTGTATATAGCCTAGATGTATTAATATTTGTGTCCGTGAACATGATTTTTCAACTTGAGTAATTTTTGTCCGATTTTGATGAAATTTGGTTCGAAGGTGTAAGGTGGTATGAACTTGAATGAGTTCGCATATCGGCATGATCGAACCATGGGAACGGGGTTTAATGGGGTAAAAATTGGGTTTTCTCATTTTTGACCCTCAAAACAAAGAATTTCCCAATTTCACTCCAGACCTTCTTTAAGAGCGTAAAAAAACAAATAATTCAGTAGGCCTAGCCTATATCAAAGTGTTTTTGTAGCCTACGGTTATTATCTACAGGGTGATTCTCGGTGTGTTGCACGGGACATTCAGACAATTCACTTTTTTATATAAATCAATAAAAATGACTTAAAAGTCTGCTATTGATGTTTAGAGTACTACATTTATGGTCATAGATTGTACATATTGTATAGATGAATAAGTTTCATAACTTTTACTTTTTTTGTGGCAATGGTATTAGAAGCGTGTTGCACGGGACTCGTACGAAGAGCGACATTCACTTACCTAGCTTGTCTACAATTATTTCTGTGAATTCTGAGATAATTTGTTATTGTTAATTTGATGTAGATATTCTCGATGGATTTACTTAACTAATAATGTTTTATAATGGGATTTTTATAAATCGGTTACTGACTTTTTAATCATATTTGATAGGCATGACGTGTGTTGCACGGGACGTGTTGCACGGGACACAAACGTTCTTGGGTGATTATGATAGGGATAATAATAATAAAAAAGAAAATTTATGAACATTTAGGTTTAAATTTGTATGTTGTAACAGGAAAAAACATTTAAACTGAGATTTTATTACATTTTTCTTCAAAAAAGTTATTTAAATGGGGTACTCCTAGGTACAACGTGGTTTTTATTTAGAAATTTCGTATTAAATGTTTTCTCTCTTCAATTAAGTTTGATACAAGTGACACACATAAATTATTAAGTTTATATATTCAATGACATGATCAAAATGGCAAATTATAATTTAGTTAGCCACTGTTTTACTCTTTACCTGAAAATGGCGGGAAAGTGGCTGAAAAGTTCCTGATATGTGGGATGATGTTGAAGAAGTCATATTATGGACTAATGGACCCTCGAGTAAGAACAGATATATGGTATATTTGTGACAACAACTAAGCCTCCAGTTTAAGGAACCATTTACATGGAAGTATTTTGCTACTTCCCATGGAAAGGGAATAGTTGACGGGGTAGGAGGGATAATAAAATCAATTGTTAGAACTTCTGGACGTCATAGAAGAAATAAGTTGCTATGATGGCCTTTTGTTTAAAGGAAGCCGTTTGATTATACCTGATGAAATGAAACTTGAAGTATTACAGAATATTCACCGTCCTCACAAATGTGTTCAAAGTTCAATTAATACAGCACGTGACTATGTATATTGGATTAATATGGAAAGAGATATTGAACAATATGTAGCGAGGTGCAATGTATGCAGTAAATATCAACGAGATAAACCTCAAGATGTGATCCTTCAAGAAACAGTACCAGTGAGGCCTTGGCAGTTCATCGGTGCTGATGTTTTTGAATGTGGAGTTAAAGACTTCTTAGTAGTTGCTGATAGTTACTCAGGATATTTTGAGTGTGAAAGTCTAAGGAACAAAAGTAGCATTACTGTTATTACACACCTAAAAAAGTACTTTGCAACTCATGGTATTCCAGATGAACTAAGAACTGATGGAGGACCATGTTTTGCTTCTATAGAATTCACTAAATTCGTATCCGAATGGAATTTTAATCATAGAATTTCATCTCCTCATTTTCCTAGATCCAATGGGCTGGCGGAGAGGCATGTCCAAGAAGGGAAAAACTTAATTGTCAAGTGTCAAGAAGAACAGTCCGATATTTATCTTGCACTTCTTCATCACCGTAACACACCAAGAGGTAGCCTAGGTTCCCCTTCCCCAGTTCAGCGGCTGATGAGTAGGAGGACAAAGACTCTTCTTCCATCTACGACCGACCAACCACCTTATTCTGATGGTCATAAAGAATGTTTCAAAACAGCTAGAAAAAATTAAAGGCGAGAGAAGCTATACGATGATATGAGGAAGACAGAGCCTGATCAGTTTAAACTCGATGAACCAGTGCTTTTCAGATTCAAACCAAAGTGTTGGTTGAGAGCAAAGATTGTTCAAGTTGGTCCTGAACCACGATCGTACAAAATCCAGACTGGTGATGGACGAGAATACCGAAGAAACTCATGGTTCCTAAGAAGAGACAAGTCATTCAGAATCTCCCATGATGTGAATAAAGGTTAATCGTCCAGGTCAGAAGAACATAGCAATGACTCAGCTCCTGTTGTAAGACGAGGGGAAAGGATTTGAAGAAAACCAAATAAATTTGACTTGTGAAGGAGGGATGACAGTAGTAGCATATGGTAATTGTTCTACATATGTTTTGTGTTATTGTTTTATATTTTGATTGAGATTTTGTTAAATTAGAAATGAACAACCTTTCTTGAGTTCAGTACACTTATTTAATAATTAATCTAATGACAATAGACAATGTTCGTTTGTGTGAATATGTTTTAAAGACTTTATGACGACCTACTAGGAGCGACAACACGGCTTAAGGTTTAACAATGACACCTTGAGTGTTAAAACTGGTCACCATCCAGACGGCCAAGGATTACAGTGTCAACAAAAAGGTATTTAACCTCTAGAATAATATTGTTAAGTAATCCGGAAGGCAACACCTCAAAATTAAATTAAAGTAAACTGTAACAAAACACTATTGTGGGTAGTAGGTAAATGAAGAACTAATAGAGAGCGAGGGAAAGTAAATTTAGAGTTGTGAAAATTCAGCTGATCGGTTTTCCCTCGTTCTAAATTAGAGCTTGGGACACAACTACTTAAAAAAAAAAAACCTACTTTCAGTACGGAGTGATAAAAATAACATCTATTGATAGAGCAATCAGTTAGCATTCTAACGTGTTTACAGTGAAATGTATGTGAGCTCTAATGTGAAGCATATATTTTATTACCTATTTTATGTTTTTAAATGCCATTGGGCTCTTTACCTTTATGTGGTGGAAGTTCCAAACATTCCATGCATTCTGCTCTAAGCAAGTGCATATCTAATTTATCTTACCCCATTTAAAAACCACTAAACCAAATTCCTCTCCCATACCGACATTGTAGTTGTTCAAGGAATAAGTGTTTGGCTATTTAAGAAGATCAAAAGAGATACAAGAGCTTCCTGTGTAAAAAAGAACATAGCCTACTAATCACCCACAATTTTTGTACATTTCTTTTTTTTATTTTGCAGGTCCTTTTACTTAATAGCGCTCATTCATCAACCAAACCAATAACAGAAGACTCCAAATGTGACATGATCGGACCTCCTGACCCTGTATCTAATTTGAGACCAATCAAATTTCATATCCCGGCCAATGAGACGTCAATAGAGAAAAGGTTAAGGTTGAAACGACAGGAAGTTCAACAGTGGAATCAAGACTTTTGGGCGTCACACAATTCAAAATTTGTCAAGGTTAGAAAATGTACATTTTTTAAAAATATGTTTTATGTAGATTACCGTTGAAGGATTATCAGAAGAATTTTCAAAATGAAAACAAACTTCTCAAACTTTTTGCCTTAATTTATTTTTACTCTCTCCCCCAATAAGTTAGCTTATAGTATGGTAAAAGTATTGTTTTTGTCAAAATATCCCTTTTGGGTTTACTTGCACCCTAAAAAGTGGTATTCAAAGTGATGCATCTGTGTGTGTGTGGATGTGTACAGAGCTACAGACCTGTGGTCATATTTCATGCCATTTCGTACGTAGGTCCTATATCCTATATCCTAATCTATAGTATCTCCAGGCGTTTTTTTTCTTCATTTTTTAGAAACGTTTAATATTGCTTACCTAGAAAGCACATAAAATAACGGTAAAATAAGGTTTTCTCAAAAACGGTCTGAACAGTTTTGATTAAAATTTAGTGTAGGCTAATAGCTTTTATAACTGGAAAGAAAACAGTATAACACCCATTGCTGTAAAAACTGTGGTTCAAAAGTTTTTGCGACTTATATAGCCTAAGTTTCCCATAAAATAACTGAAAACATTGGATTGAAAAAAAAAAACAGCTTTTACCGATTTTGTGTAAAATTTAGCTTGCTATGGTCCTTGTAAGTCTGAAAAAAATAGTACAACCCCCAATGCTGTAAAAAGAAAAGATAGGCTAGTTCACAAGTTATTGCAACTTTAATGATTTTCCTCATAAAATATCATACAGTAGTTACCACCACTTTTCCATGATAAGGTTTGTTGACACTTGACAAGCTTTGGGAGAAAGTTTGTGTCAGAATACTGATACAATTTATTTATACATATTACACATTAAGTTTACCCTGCCATTACTTTACTTGATTTTGCTTAATATATGTGCTAAGCCGGGTTACCAAAATTTCCAACCTTTTTCCACAACTAAAAACTCATCATTATGTCCTTGAATAATTTGAATAAATGTTTTTGAAATACACCGGTTTAAGGACTTAAAAGCCAGTTCTAGACATTTTCCTATTGTAAGCGAACAACATTCCGCCAACTCCCCCCCCCCCCCTAATTAAAAACGTATCTGGTAGTTAGTGCCAGATTTTAATAAAATTGCTGCGGCCCTTTTTTTTCTTTTTTTTTTAAAGAGGGCCAGGCTTAACCATGGGATTGCAGCGCAGCTAGAACAGCTTATTGTGCACCCTCATTCACAGGTCCTCATTCTTTGTCAAATCCCAGGTCCTTTGTGAACCGTGAGATCCTTTTGACTATGGTGACCCGTTCTTCCCTTTGATCTCCAGTCGATAGGCCAAGGGATCTCATGCGCAGACCTTAGGGCTGGGCACATAAATATCACGTAGAATGCTGTCTCCTCCTCCTCTCCACATTTCCTACATAAGAGGCTTTCAACTTGAATTCCCATCTTGTGTAAACGTCCACGGAATACCCAATGGCCGCTAATAAAGCCAACCACCTTCCGCAGGGTCTTCCTACTCAGCCCAAGGGCTTCTGCCGCTATCGCACCTGTAGGTGCCTTCAGCATTCTCTTTGACTGTACATTTCCTTCTGTTCTTTCCCAGTTCCTTCGATGTTCTATGACCATCCACTGGCGAACACCTCTCCGTGCTGTGCTGTAAGCCCCTTTTTGCAAATATGTTCACGATATGAACACGATTGCGGGCAACAATCAAGATGTTCCATGATCGTAGGATACATTTGCGATTTCGCAGAAATTGTCACGTGGGTAGCAATGATAATGTTCTGTGATCACGGAAGATGTTCACAATCTCGCCGCGACCGCATATGGCAATGATGATAACCCTGTGATTGTGGGAGATTTTTGTGATTTCACGGTGATCGTAGAGATTGCAGAATTTGATAATTTATCGTAAACACGGGAGATGTTCTTAATTTCTTGAGATTGTGGATGATGATGATCATGTCCCGTTATTGAGGGAGATGGTGATGATTTCGCTGCGATAATGAGGCCGCTCGTATTTAAGGCCTAGGGCTGCAAGTACCCTAAACACTGATGTTATAGTAAGGAATATTTATGGCTAAATGAAAAATATAAGTAAATAAAAGAGCATAGGAGTTTCTGAATCGTAGAAATGTCTGCCGGACGAGTCCATTTTAACAAATGGACATTATTTGTGATTATTGTTATTTGGGAAGAATAATAAATCAAGTAGTGGGAGTATATGTAATGGTCTCTCACCTTTAGATGTACACAATTTACCCCAATTCCTTACTCCTACAACAGTCCTAGTGGGTGATGTAAATAAACTATTACCGTCTATAATTGAATATAGGCTATAACATTTATATATTCAATGCCTCTAGTCTCCTTTAATACTGAACATTGGAGAGCACTTAGGCGCTTCCTTTTGCTTGGCACCCTACGCTACTGCGTACTTTGCTTACCCCTTAAACCGCCCCTGGCTCTTAATAATTGAAACAGTCACTTAGACACAACACTCATTTAGTAGTGATTAATTTCAAATAATTTTTCTATCTGCTAAATTTAATGGTTCAGTTTGTATTGTGCTTCCAAAGAAGTCTTGCAATACTGGTGCATGTTACAACTAAGATGGCACATCATCACCTATGAAGATATCTTACAAGAGTTTGTACCAGGAGAGAAAGGAGTTCATGGCTACCAACCAATCAGAGTCTAGTGAACAGATGTCGGCAGATGAGATGTCAGTGTTCTACAAGGCATTCCTGGACAAGAACTGGCGAACACATCTCGACTACAACGTGGAGTGGTACAAGAAAAACGCTTTCCTTGTCCTGTTGCACATTCAAGTCAAACTGTCTCGGCTAAGAAACACACTCAGCGGAAAATGAAGCTCACCAAAGTTTAGTGTTTAGTTGCAATTAAATGTGATATTACAACATAAATATTTATATATTGATTTTAACCTGCTCACCATATAATCATTATGACTAAAAGGTGTTTTATCGTTTCTAAACAAAATATATCAGTAAAATTAAACATTTGTTTCCAAATTACTAATTTACTAGTGGCTTGTAGGGGCAATAGCCCCTATATACTTCTAGTAATTATTTTGTACAAATTATTAGTCTCATGGGTTACCCTACCTTGAATTATCATTGAACATTTTTGTATATTATAATATGTATACATACCTGCAATGCATTTTGATGTCTGCTCTGATTAAAATAAAAATTGCAAAGGACTGTTCATGCGGTGTGTTTATAATACAAACTAAATCATATTACAACTAAGGAACATGTTTAATAATAATCTTCATGACTATTAATTAAATATATATAAATTTCTTTGATTCACTTAGATATTCACTTAGATAAAACACATAGAGATAATGTCATCCTCCAAATTCTAAAATGCTAATTCTATAACAAAATCTCTCTGGAAACATTTGTTGTACCTATGCCAACTTTTTCGAAGGTTTGGCCTTGCACTTTATTTATAATGTAAATTGAATCCTTGTAAACTTAAATAGCATATTATGATCTGTAGATATTAGTTTTATTTTTGGCATGAAAAATATGTTCCCTTTGGCCCAGCACACACGGTGTGACTGTTTTACAACTTTCGTTGCAAACCAGTTGCGCGTGCAACTGTTTTGAGACCTCGGCAATGTATTGCAGTGGGGAGGCCCACACGACGCAACTGGTTGTATGCGATTTCGAAAAAAGTTTGAAATCAGTCACATACAACCGTGGGCCCGATGTTGCAGTTGCGTTGCAGGCTTCAGTTGCACGAGACCACGGGTGTTTTTGTGGTGTTTGGTGGTATTTTGGTTGAATTTTGACGGCCGTGTGGTATTTTTAGTGTTTATAATTTCCTATCCGAATAGCTCTAGCTGCTACAAACAGCCTAGTACTAACATTCTTGCTCAAATAAGGGTGAACCCAATGCTATCTCAGTACCCTTCGCTGTCTTCGGTATTGATAATAGCTAATGACGTCTTCTTCGTCTGAGTCCGACGTAGTAAGCGCACTTAAGGCCTTAAAACATCGTAACTGCACTAAATTTGCACTCCACTGATTGCACAATAGACTCAACAGTAGTTGTAAAACAGTCACACCGTGTGCAACAGTTGTTGTAAAACAGTCACACCGTGTGCGCTGGGCCTTTGCCTACTCCAGAAATTACTTCAAACTTTACACTTTTTTCAGACATACCTAACACAACCAATCGTACTCCATTGACTAATCCAGACCCTTAAAATTGGGAAAAGGTCTATACATATTACAGTACAGTACATATTACCATATGCTTTAAATAAAGTTAAACTACATGTTTTAAAGTAGGTAAACAAAACAGACATGATCTAAATTCCCATGCTATTTAAATGTGAATTATTTTATTACGTAACAACCTTTTGGTGCATAATTAAGAAAAATGAATAATTTTCCCCAAAATTTCATGCCCAGACCTTTAAAATGAGACCTCTCCCAGCTTTCTACGACCTCCCGTTCGCTCACAATTTCATTTGGGCTTACGGACTTAGATATATAGATTTTAATTATTACGATACTGCAATATTTAGGCATTAAAAACAATATTGACGTTATATAAATTGCATTAATAAGGCTATTGATGCAATCATAAGAGATGTTGCTAACCATTCCCCAATCTAGGCACCTTACATGGGAGTTACTCAACATAGCTCTAAGCTACCTCCGAAGCTATAGATTTAACCGATCAAATGGTTTTAAGTTCAGATTGCTAACTGTGGTGCTACATGTATTTTTCATAAATCATAAATCTTAATTGGTCATCAAATAACAAAGTTACAATTAATAGACCTTGTCAACAATGAAAATGGCGTAAAAAAGGGCCTTAGGTTACTAGATAGTTATTATATTACTAAACACAGCCATTAAAAACCTCAAGACTGACACAGGTACAAAAATCTAATTTTGCACTTGTAGCTACCAACTTGAGTATATCCATAGCATCTATACCAGATACAGGGGACTGGGAAATACGTTGCCTGGTTCTAAGCCTGTTAACTCATTCACTCCTCGGGCACCTATGCTTAGAAATAGCCGGAGTCTAGACCTAATACTGAACCTTTAAAATGCACAATTATTAGTGTCGGTTGGGTCTAAGAATAGGTTGAGGTATTGAAACAAAATATAAGATCTTAAATGAATAGGTTTACATGGTAACAAGTAACCAAAATTCTTACTTCACATATTTTTATTTGGTCAGGGTGTAGACCTAAACCAACATTTACAAAAATAAACTAGTAGTTTTGCACCATACATGACATAACCAAGTATTTGATTTCTACAAAAAGAGTTTATTCAAAATTTGAGAAAAAAAATGTCTGAACAGGTAAGACACAATTGTTATAATCAGAATTACCAGTGTTTCTAAATTCCAACCCGGTGTGGTTTTCCTGAAGAATATTTTATGCTTTAGTCAAGCTCCATAACTGATGAGTTTAGGATGGATGTTAACAAAACTGTCCTGAGGTCCTGGGTTCAAATTCCGCTAAATCACCAATGGATTTTATCTAAGTAATAATGCCGCAACCCCTAGGTCTAGCCTGAAGTAATGTGAAAAACAATTCTGGGCTCGTGACTAGCGTCCTAGGACATAAAAATCTCACACAACCACCCATTAGCACAGCAATTTAGCAAAGTCTTGCATACCTGACCCTTATTTTAAACCTCATTTCTTTGTATGAACATGAAAAGTCAGATCAGTAAGTAAAAAGTAAGGTGAGGCTAAAATTAAAAGTCCAACATATTTTTAGAATATTATTTTGAATTATAAAACTTAACAGAAGAATTTAATGTTACAACAATATGTTGCTACCTGAAATCATAGAATTAATTTTCTACATGTATTATGACAATTTCCCATAAATTTCAGCCTAATTCCATCAATAGATCAAGATCCTTGGTTTTAAACCAGCCCAAAAACAATAGCAATTCCGCAAAATCTGTTGCCTCCGTACCAGGTGACCTCAATGATAATGAACGGACAAAAATACGGGAAGAGGTTTTTCAAAACTGGTTGCAAACTAAGAAACTAGAACAGTTGAGAAAACGGGAACAGGAGGAAAAAATTAAACAGATAGCCTTAGAAGAGAAACAAGTAAAAAGAGAGGCAGCGGAAATTAGCTATGCCATCTGGAAGCACAAGAAAGATGAAGAGAGAAAAGGTATATAATTACTAAGCAATTAAATATTATTTATAACTTAGGGCAAAGTTAGTTTTGAAATGTACTTACTACTTCATAATGCATTTATAGCTGAAATTAATTATTTACTTTTGACGATTGTATTGCAAATGCCTCATTAGTAAAAAAATATACTTCAAAACAAGAAATAAGCAGGATAAAACGGATTATGTACTTAGAACTACTATTTTTGAGTGTTTAGTTCAAAGGCATTGTTTTAGGGGTTTACTAAAGGTAATTGGGCCTGATTGGTTGAGTGGTCCAAACATCTTGTATTAACTTACCAGGAGTTCAACTGTCAATGACAAGAGAGTTATGGGAAAAGCTGAGGCCTCCTAAAACAAATTGTTGCCACACTGAATAGGTATTTTCAATAAACGTGCAGATGTATCCAGCAAAAGTACTTTTTAATTTCAAAATTTTAAGATCATGAAATAAAATCAAGTTTCACATAAACATTTCATTTTCAGCCGATGAATCTCAAAATGTTCATATATAAAAAGGAAATTATCATGGTTTAACTTTGAATCCCCATTGCATTTATTAATAATACAGGGTGCGGCATAAAAACCGATCAATTTTCTGCAGAGCACTGTTCAGCGACAGGTCGTCTGAGAGTGGTGGGCGTAGGTTCGTTGGGAAGCCTACACAAGGCCATTTTTTTTTAGTCATAGAGCTGTGGTCGCTTGAGCTATGTGCGGTTGTTATGGAGTTGTTTTTAAAAAGTATTGAATTCATTCATTGCAACTCAGCGGTATCGGCAGTTTCATGCATTCTTTCAATTGAAATGGAGAAGTTCCGTTGCGTATCACAATAATGCGGTGGGTTACTAGTTTTAGAACAACGGCTTCTGCGTTGAAAAGGAAGCTGAAAGGCTGCCCAAAGTCAGATCAGACGCCAGACAACTAACATTTGATAGAGTTCGTGCTGCTGTGGAAAACAGTCCTCGCAGGCCCGCTCGAAAACCAGCGGCTTGCTGAACATGTCTGACTGCTCAGTTACACGAATTTTGAGGTTAATTTTCATCACTTAATTACAATAATAATCTGTTTAATTGTGATAGGCTATCCATACAGATAATCTTGATGGAACCTCTTCATGTCGACCTAATAAATAAAAGCACGGAACTGCCACTGAGTTGCAATGACTGATTTAGTACCTTTTAAAAACGACTAGATAACAACCGCACGTATCTCATACAACCACTGCTCTATGATTACAAGAAATGGCATCGTATAGGCTATCCAACGAGCCTACTCCCACCACCCTCAGACGGCCTGTCGCTGAACAGTGCGCTGAAGAAAATAGATCAGTTTCTTTGCTGCACCCTGTATAAATACTAGAATGCTATTTTCAAGTTAAAAGAAATAGTACCTATTTATATTGCAAAATGCAAATCAACAGACGCTGTGCTGTCAACCAAAAAATCCTGCCAATGATGACCTTGGACTATTATTGTTATCTGTAAATTTACTGCTGCATCGTAGGGGAGCGAGCTGGCGTAGTGGTTAGAGCGCGGGACTTCAGTCCCTGAGGTCCCGGGCTCGATTTCCGCCAAGTCACCAATGGATTTTATCTAAGTGATAATGCCCCAACCCCTAGGTCTAGTCTGAAGTAATGTGAAAAACAATCCCAGACTCGTGCCTAGCAAAAAAAAGATAAAAAACTGCTGCATTAAGCTTGTGGCCACCCGCAACTAGTTAAAATCTGACACCAGTGTTATCATATTTGACTTCTTCCAGCAATATTCTAGTCGGGTCCCAACCCTATCTGATGAATATTCTTGACATAGTATCTGAAGTTAAAGTCAAATTGACACTCCTGCCAAGCGTGAATCTGGTTCTATGATTAGATTTTTGTGGCCTAACCTAACCGCTATCATTGACTATATATAGTCAATGATGCTATTGAAGTGTATCTTTACTTCAGGAATGTAGATGGAGCAAAGAGCACAGTTTTTACTTGTAGAAAATAAGTGTAAGTGGCGAAGAGATTATGGAGGTCTTTGTTAAAATGTTTACTGTGTTTACAATGTTTTCAATTTATTTAGCAGTTATTAATCAGACTCATTTGAGTCAGTGAATAAAATCAGAGTCAGGGCTGTTTGCAATGTGACTTAACAAGAGTTGCTGAACTGACTTGCGCCCCTATAAGGCTACCAAGGCCAATGATAAGCCCTTATTTTAAACACACTGATCAGCAAACAAAGTTCCCTCCATTTTTATCCCTGCCTTGATGGAAACTAATGAACATCTGCTGCCAGCCTCATTGTGCAAATGTGTACGTCATCCTGTGAACTCTCTAAGCCACCTCAAGCACGTCTGAACACTTCTGCATACATATCTGTCACCTTGCAGGGTATTTCAAAAGGGATTTGTCCCCTTCCCACAGAAGTCTAATCACTGAACGTGATTCATATTTGGCGGTAGTGTTGATTTTGTCTCAAAACGTTTTCAGTTACTATGACGAGAGTGAGGTGTAGGTCATTGCATAGGGGCTTGAGAAATGGTGCCTGATGCTAGTAGTGCATTAACATTGCACTAGTGTAAGATTTTTTGTCGCTAAGGGAGCTCGATGGAGACCTTATTATTAATAATCTATCTAATACAACTAATACTACTTTGGCTTTTTTATTGTCCTCCGTCGACTGTAGGACGGAAGTCCTCCGTTGTTACACTCACTGCAATACAATGCATTGTTACATTTTAGCCAAGGAAATGAAAGAACGACAACTTCGAAATGAGGAACATCAGCAACGTGAGGTTGAACTGAAGAAAACAGTGTCCAGAGAAAAAGTCTCAGAGTGGATGAAGATGGCAAAGTACAAACCTCGACCTGTCCCTAGCAACCTTGGCTTGATAAGTATGTCAGTTTCAATCATGACCATTAAAGTTTTGAAACTATTAACAGAGTTTACTTTAAGAGTATATCAAACTATGCACAGACACAGGTTCAAATTAAATTCACCCGACAGTAAAAAATAATTTTACCCTGAAAAATGTGAGAGGCGTTCTAGTATCTTAAAGTTCCTTTATCTGTTAGATTTTCAGGTTTAGTTTTACCAAATCATAAACCAAAGTTTAATGTAAAATAAAAATAAATATCTTTTCTCGGGTAATATTTTTTGAATGGATAGCTTGTGACAGTTTAATGGTAGACAAATGATACACAAATGCAGAGTAGACTCACATTATTTACTGAATCTTGAAATTTAAAAGATGAAACTATAAAATCAAAACAAATGATTACAGATATAAAAAATAATTAGTTATTAGATAACATTATTAGTTAATTTCAAATGCCTGTTGCAGGTTTAACAGTCACCAACCCCCCGAGCTACTACAATCCTCAACCCTGGGTCAACCCTGAACCTGCATGATTTGAATTGGAAAAATATAAAATTTTATTTGATAACATTTTTAATTTGTATGATTTTTGTACATCAAAGTTTATGATTCTTTTGGTTCAACGTTTGACTAATAGCTTTCTAATAGTCAATGGTTCAACCTAGACTTCCCATCTATATGGACCAGCTGTAGCCAATTTTTTATTAAAAAAGAATATAGTTGTGTGAGCCAGTCACAGAATGCGCCAGTGTCTAAAATTCTATTTTATACCTTACATTTTGTTGCTGACCAGGTTGATGGGTCATAACAGTTGCTATAACTCATCATAAGTCATTCCCTAAGGTTGACTTAATTAAAAAGATTGTGTATTCAGCAGAATTTAGTAGTTTAGATCAACGCAATCTGTAGGTGGCTCATATCAACTACGACAATTTTGATAAAAAATCTGTCTACAAATTTGCCAGTCACAGAATGCGCCAGTGTCTAAAATTCTATTTTATACCTTACATTTTGTTGCTGACCAGGTTGATGGGTCATAACAGTTGCTATAACTATTTTATGAGTGTGTTGAGCATAGTATAAAAAACTCCAAATAACTCCCTCTTGATTTGACACCTCATGATCAGACTCTTATCTTACTAATAATAATATATCTGAAATAAAAGTCTGAACCACAAAAGTAATACAAAAAACACTTTTCACCACACTACGATGTTTTTAGCCATTTTACAAACTTTTATTGGAGGCCGAAAGCTGGGCCCCTACTTATTGCTGACTATGCCAGCTGTCATTTGGGTCCTGAGCAGGTTTTTACATCCCTACCGCCGAAAATCAGCTGCCCACTTACTTTCTTAAAACATTAATGCATATTAAATAGAAATCAGTATAGCAATCAATAGAACACACCATAGCATTGCAATAGAATTATTAAGGTGAATAGGGTATAGTATGGTGGAAAATAGTGTTCATACCATTACCGAAATGGTTTTCGGCTCTAAGTACAAAATATACTATGCCACATTCACATTTCAAAACCACCTATGTGTGCCGAAACTAGTAAAGAGAGCTTTACTAAACCGGCCCTGACCTTGTCAATTCGTAAAACTATAAGTAAATTGTCCAATTAGCACGAGTGGAGTGCCAACAATATTATAGCTTCAAAATGACTGAAAGTGGGGTGATGAAGACAGTACTTATCACAACTCCTTACCAACACTAATGCTAACAAACCCTTTAAGAAGCTATATGATTATGTAGAATAGTCAGGATGGAATTTTGCCGCCGAAATGATCTTCGTGCGGCCGCCGCTTGGTTTGGTTCGATCGTGTGGCGTTCGCGCTACTCTTTCTCTCTAAGCCAATTCTTTGTCTCACTCTCTATCACTCAGTCAGCTGACTTGGCCGCACACTCGCGATAGTAGCGTCTTCGTTACCTAGCAGCCGCCGTGGGAACTATCCAAAATTCAAATATTCCTAAACAGAATTTTTAACAAAGGCATTGCTCTTCTTATAGGGTTTGTAATCATTGCTAATACTACCACACCGTTCAAGCTGCTTCCAATCAACACATTTTTTATGCAAGTATTCTCTCAAAACCTACCTACTAAAGCTTTGATCAAATAAAAATCTTTTCAAAGACAAACTATTTGTAATCTTCAAATAATATTTTAACAATTTTTTTATTTATTTAATTTCTCTTTAAGAAGTTAAACAATTCTATACTTATGTCCATTATCGACAGTGGTAACTCGATAAGAAACATAAAGCACATCAATGATTCCGACAACCAGCTCATTGGGACGTAGCTTGAATACATCAAGGTAGTTTGAGCTTTGTTCGAACAGTTTATGAACTAGGTTTATTCTAAACCTCCAGTAAAACTTGACGAGTTTCCTCTTCGGTTTCTGTGTTGGACTTTTCCACGGAATCTTGTTCCACCCCTGCCCTGAAGAGGGTTAGTGTCTCATAGCAAATCAACAATATCCCTGAAACATATCACTTTGTTGAAGTGTTGTTAAACATAATTACCACTTCATAAATACAATGTCATCCTTTGACCAAAACTAGAACCAGTCGTGAACTACTTACATAAACGCAACTTATTTACAGATGTCAGTTATATATCGCCAAAAAGAAAAAAAAGTAGATTTGTTTCAGAGATATTTGATCATTTGTAATATCAGGGTATCTTCACTGTAGTTTATGGATATACGCACAAAGGTGGCGTCTCCATCTCATATGGCCATAATCATAATAAGTCTTTGTAAGAATTTATCAATTTTTAGGAGGTATTACTTTTGGGAATTGAAATTGTAGGATTTGAAGAATAAAGATGAATAAAATTGTTAACAAAATACAAAGAAGCTTACGTCGCCATTGGACAAAACAGCTAGAGAAAAATGAAAAATTACCTTAAGGTAATTGAAACACCATAATAGCCTATATTATATTCTTGAGTGTAACAGATTGCGTGAAAATAAAATAATAATATACCTATATGGTTCTTACCGTCTACGCAATCAGGGGTGATACTTCACTACGGCCGTTTCGGAGATTACTCCATCGTCAGGTGCGTAGTGGTTCACTAAACTATAGTCTTGTTACACTTAACACGAAAAGTCTTCATTTGCATTGCGTCAGGGGTTGAATAAATATTAAGACATATAAAAACAGGACGGATACACGAAAACACAAAGTTATCTCCGAAATGGCCGTAGTGAAGTATCACCCCTGATTGCGTAGACGTTAAGAACCATATACATTATTGTAACACCATAATATACAAAGCAAAATTATCGTAGGCTATATTTTAATCAAGATGTGAGTGAAAAATTTGTGTTGGTATAAAGAAGGGTTTTCCAAGGCAAGGAGTTCACTCTGCTTGTCTTAGATAATTTAATGGTAGGCTACTGTTATCCTAGAAGCGGAGTAGACCGCCACTAGAGGAGCGGAAAATTACTTCCCCACACTCTGCTCTCAACATCATGTTTCTGCGCCTAGGAAAACCCAGCTTAAGTGTACTAATGTGGTTTGCACCTTTGTTTCAATAAGTGTTATTGATATTAAAAAACACATGTTATTTCATTGTTTTGTTTTAACCATGATCAGTACAATTTTTAGCAACAGCAAAAGTTTAATAACCCTAGTAGCACAAATATATATTAAATACATATGAATAAATATATTTAAAATCTATTTAATATATCTCAAGTGTGTATTAATGTCAATTTTATATAATATTTAAAATATATTATATATATATAACATATGTTTTTGAATATATTAAATATTAAAAAAATAGGTTCCAATAATATATTTTAGTGAATAATATTTAAATAAAAAATGTATTTAATATATCTTCCAAACATACCATGAGGCCTAAATATAAAAAAATGAAGATTTAGTATGAAAAACACAATTATCAGTTGAGTAAATTGATTAAATAGTTCATAAAAACTAATTTTGAAAAAATTACTGGATAAAATTTTTTTAGCCCGGATGGGTCTCGAACCTGGGTCCTCCGACTTATGAGCCTCTTACCTTACCTCTGAGCTACTTGTGACTATTGCTAGCATCTGTTTTCAAATGGTGAAAGGGTGACCGTCAGTTGCAATTTTTTTGATACTACAGTATAATATGATTCTGTTAATCTGTTTTTCCGTAATTCGTTTCTTAAACGGTCGCCAGTCGCTAGCACCCTTTTCTAGCCAATAATTAGAGATTTCTATGATCACATATTGCAATTCAAAAAATAAAACCCATAAACACTTTTTTTACATGTAGTTGCCGAACATGTATACTGCCTCTTAACCATGTGCATAATTTTTTCTTTACGTGCATGATAGAGTGACACCATTCAGAGTACGTATTGTTAATAACTTAATTTTAACGCTTTCACAATAGCAATTATCATACAAAAAATGCATGTATAAATTGATAGACACTATAAAAAACAAAAAGATGCAAATTATTTATTTACTAATTATAAAAGATTAGAGGCTATAGCCTATATTCTACAAATATATTATTATTTTATTAATAAAAATAAATTACGTTTTTCAAAATATATTTATAAATACTTTAAATATATAATATAGTTTCAAAAATATTTTATATATATATTTAAAATATTCTCAACAGATATTTTTTAAAAATATTTAATAGGAAAAAAATACATATAAAATATGTATATTATAGATTCTACACTTATTTGATCGATATATATTATGAATCTATTTTATATATTCAAAACTTATATTTAATTTATATTTTGCATTGCTTTTTGGTAATATTTTAAATATATATTTGAATATATCATACTGTTATTAAAGATATATTATATATATATTTTATTCGAGGTTCTATCAAATACAACTTTAAATATATAAAATATTTATAAAATACATATTTGTGCTACTAGGGAATTCTTTTATTCATTGTAAATTAATGTTTTAATTTAACAGCTCTCCTCATTTACCAATAAAACATATTAAATTAACTATTTATGCTATATCATACTGTTTAGAAAATCTACATCTCTTATTTCTCAATTAATTTGTTTAAAAATCAAAATAAAATAAAATCTTCTAAAAGGAAACCTACATAAATTTTCAATAAAATTTTATAGCATAAAATTATAGAAAACTAGTTGCTCTGCCCGTGCTTCGCTACGGGGTGAGAATGCAGAAAAGAATAATTCGGTTTTACTTTAAGATACTATAATATACTATAAGAAACAGTTACAACACACTTACCAGGAAACATATAGGCAAAGGCTCAATCGTGCTTATTGATTATTTAAATAAAGATCTCTTAATTTACAGCAGTACTTACAGTACTGTCATTTTACATATTGTAGTGTCATCCCTATGTGTCTAGCATTTAAAATATATGCAAAAGTCATTGCAAAAGTATAATTCATTGACCACATGGCACCAAGAAACAATTCTCCTTGTAAACAAATAAAATTAAATGGCAGAACAGCATTTCTGACAACAGCTGGAGTTTCATAACAATGTTTGTTTCCCATGTTAATCTTATGGAGAAATATGAAACTTTAAAGGGCCCTAGGGCCTCACTCTCTAATTATTTCCCTAAAAAGAAAGTTTCCTGCACAACTTCACGTTACGCTTTTTCCAATGACATCAAAAACATGTCAATCGGTTCAGTAGTATCGGAGGAGTAATTGTCACAAAAAACCTGCTTGCGTATTAAATAAGTACGAGCAGTTTGGCCCGTCCTACGTACGGGAATCGAGTAGTCCATTAAAACTGTATATGATTCAGAACAGCTAGTTTAAAACTTGTTGGCCGATTCACACACACTGGCCAGTAAGCTGCATGCCATAGTAGCTACATACCACCTTCCACTGCATATGCCTACTATCACTTACCGTACCTTATTTTACCACCTTGGCCACTGAAACGTCTAAACTGATCCTGGCCTCCCGTTCTCTTCCATCCCCTGCCATTTCTAAGGAAGATACCAGTCTGAAGATGTCTTTCATTACTTGGTCGTCCAAGTGGTCGTCTACCTTGTAGTACTCCTTGGAATACACTTTTAAAAGTTGAAGTATCTTCTCTCCGCCATGCAAAGCCTGCCTAGCCCATCCGAGATCTGAGCCTTTTGGAATGTACCCCTTTATCAAGTTTCTGAATCATACAGTACTACTGGGATAGTTATGATATGGTATGAATCGATTTTCGTTTCTACTGACACCCTGCAGCTTACTGGTCAGTTTTCTGGAGACCTACTACACCGGTTGACATTTTCATGTGTACTGTATGCAGTCATACTTATATTCAAACATTTAGAAAAAGATGTATCAACACGCAAACCGCTTATATCTTAAAGGATTAAGCACTTATACTTAGACGGATTGCATTTATGACAAAACTTGATTATACGTTTAAAATGTTTAGTTAAAAATTACACAATCCCCTGATAACATAGATCTTTTACGATAGGTAATAAACTGCATTTTAAAGTGAAATAGTGTGTAGGCAAACTCTGGATCAATATTTTGTATACAAACAACTTGTAACATAAACATTTCAATGACAGTTAGAAACCAGCTGTTAGTTAAACCATCACTAAAACGACTTTAACTCATCCGTCGGCTGCTAGACTTTTTAAAAATTAAAACGTAATTTCTAAAAAACTGGGACCATAAACTAAAATTATGGCTTCGACATTCCCTAGTTCTCAAAATTATCTTTCTTTCAACACAAAAATCATGAAAATCCGTCGAGTGGTTGATTCAGAATCGTGAAATAAAAAAACACTGTTTCGTTTTAATATTATAGATAGATAGATTTAAAAAATGAACAGCTGTTTCATTAATAAGTATTATTCATATGGCCAAAATGTAAACAACTCTGTGGAGCGATCTTTAAAGGCTTCTGGGGCAGAATCCTAAGGGATTTTGCTTAGTTTTTCTTTTGATAACTCATCTACAGACCAAGACCTTTCTTTGGACACCTCTACCAAGTTTCTACGCCCAGCCTTTCTCTCAAATTGGTGGGGACAAAGTTTCCAATTAAATATTTAGATTCCCCCATGTTAATATGGGAGAAACTCCAACTTTGATGACCTGTGGGGCAAAGCCCGAGGATTTTTATTACATGAATTGGCAAAAGGGGGCGTCTAGACAAAAAATACTTTATTTTGACACGTCGTTTGTGAAAATCCGTCCATTATTAACGGAGGAGTAGTGTTTTGTAGAAATCGCCTTCACGTATTATATATAAGGATATTCTAAAGGAAACCTAGACCTACGTATATTTCTTAATAAATCGCTTTTAAACATCAAATTAAAAGAATAAAACAGCTTTTAACAATACATACAGCTGATTCAAATCATTAAAATAACAGTACCTATCAAAACACTAGCGTGTGTGTGGTGAGTAAATGGAGAACTAATCGAGAGCGAGGGAAAATCAGCTGATTGATTTTTCCCTCACCCTAAATTAGAGCTTGGGAAACGACTACTTTCTTTGATATCAGCTGTCATCAAAAATATAGTTACTTTTGCTACGGAGTGATGAAAAGATATTTTCCTAAAGATGTGCAGAATCAATTTATAAATTAAAACGGGCCCAAAAATAAGCACAACAAATTATTTGAAATTAAAATAAAATTAAGATAGACCTTATGGGATGCCATGCTGGTGACAAACTAACAACAAAATATAAACAGAAAATCAAAACAAATGGAAGAAATTCTAATCAGATGTTTTGCGTGGGGTGTAAATAGTACAATACTGTACATTACATATTTTGGCCGAGTTTTAGACCACTGGACGACCTCTAGTTTATATAAAAAGCACTACGGTACTTGCAAACAAAGAAAGCCATAAGTAATTTTGCACTTACCAAAAATTACACCAAAGAATATTCCTTGCATTCTAAATCATTTGGTTGTAAATATTCTATTTCCTTTTATCAATTGTTATCGTTATCAGAGCAAGGGCGCAACCGTGAACGTTAGTTGTTCTAGAACAGCTCCCAACTAAATTCAAAATATGTTTTTTAAGTTAAAATCATTTACTGCATAACATTTAACAATTGACTGTAATTGCAAAATTTAATTAAAAAGCAAAAGTTCAGGAATTTTAGTATGGTTTTGTATTATGACTACTATTCATCCATCATATTACCATAACCTCACCATACTTGATGATATATTGTAATTCCTCTACCTTTTGTGCTTGTAATACCAAATTGTTTATTACAATTACAATATTATTGAATTTATTTATCAAATCCATTCAAAAGTTTGGTATTTGTGATATATGACACAAACAAGTTATTTTGTCACTGAACATATTTCAGAACCGAGAAATAAAATCTTGAAGCCACCCTTATCAACTTTACCCTTTTGCAGAATACGGTTGTTACAGGGGTACAGGGGAACAAGTCGAATACAGTTTTATGATCACAGTTATTGTAAAAAATCTTAACTAAATTATCTAGTTTAATTTAATCACACTATTATTTAAAACATTCAAAACCTCATATTTTTGTTCAATCACAACACAAATTTTAAGAGAATAAAATTGAAGTTTTGATCAAGTATTTTTTTTTTTAAACTTTAATATTCGCAAACAATTTATAAACAAAATATTTTAATAAAAAAATAACAAATGTTAACACCAATTTTATTTATAAACACATTTTAGTTATGTAGGGAATACATTAACAAATTATCTGTCTGCCATCTTTATGATATAGACAAACACACTCATTGATAAAGTCTATAAGTCAGACTGCAAGTGGTAAAATATACAGTTTGCAGTAGAATTGAAGATGGGGAAAATGGTGCCACTAGTGGCATTTGGTGAGTGTCCTACTTTAGACCTAGGTTAATATTTTTGGATGATTATCTTGATTATAGTAAAAGATAGAAGATCATGTTTTTGTAACAAATAGATTCCATTGACAGGAGAACTCAATGTGATAACAAAATGTTTATCAAGAATGAATGCCAACGTCACTGATGAATATAAAATCCCAGACGTGCAATTTGTATTCATATCTCCTTATTCCTGCTGATTCAATGCACCCCATTTAGTTGTTGGTATCAACAAAAACATTTAAGATTTTCCCCCCTTAGTAGTTGGTCCCCATAGTTATTTCGTATCCCTGAATAACGTTTTTAAATGTCTTTATGACTTTGTTTGTACCAAGTTTTGGAGCTCTGTCATTATTTTTTTTTTAATATTTAACTGTTCCATGAATTTTCACCAACCCTGTATAAAATAATAATTAAACTTTTATGGCAATTTCAATTTTATTTATTCTCATTGAAAAGGATTATTATAAAAATATTACTGGGTAGTTAAAATATGATATTGAAGCATAATTTAAATTTCAAACTACTGTAGTTAGATTGTTCCATTACAAGATTTTTTATGTATGTATAAAATTTAATTACTATAACATATCAATTAGACAGTTTTTCAAGAAATTTCAAACATAAATCTATATAGTTAATACGCTACATGAAACTTTGCCGGTTGAACTCCTCCGCCATTTCTTAACCGATTTTATCCATTGACGTCTCATTGGAAAGAGCGTGTCGCGTAGATTTGCAAACTGGCCTTACATTTTTTAAATAGTCCTTTGGGCTCTGCCCCAGTAGCTTTGAAAGTTCCCATGTTTTCCTTATGAAGAACATAATTGTTTACATTTTGATCAGCTGTATCATTTAATTGCTGTAATTTATTTTTCATCACGAAAGTAACTATTTTCGATAACAGCTGACATCAATGAAAGTAGTTGTTTCCAAAGGTCTAATCTAGGGCGAGGGAAAATCGATCAGCTGATTTTCCCTCGCTCTAAATTTACTTTCCCTTGCTCTCAATTAGTTCTCCATTTATTCACTACGTGCGCTATTGTTTTGTTACGGTTTAATTTAATAATTTGAATCAGCTGTATGTATTTTTAAAAGTTGTTTTATTCATTTATTTTGATGTTTAAACAAAATTTATTGAGAAATATACGTAGGTTTCTTGTTAGAAGATTTTATTTTATTTTGAGGTTCAATCAAATTGTTTTAAATATTACTGAGGTCTGCTATTCTGTGTTTGTGTATTTTTGCGTCGTGATGAAAAATATCGTTCATAACTCGTACCAAAAGTTATTATCCGGCACTAGCTCCATTATTCCTGCCCTCGGCTTCGCCTCGTACGTGAAATTGGGGTTCCCTGTGTTCGGCTTCGCCTCACACAAAAACTTGGGCGAGCAACGGAAAATGCCACTTTCGGTCCTAGTAATGAAATATACTATTTCAATTCAACAATACGCATTGGGTACATTTTAATGATTTTGTTGAAATTAAATATTTCCTACTTTAATTTACATTTGTTTTTAAATAACTACTTTACTTCTTTGTAATTGCTCGATTTCGAGCAACATGTCCCACACTAGTAAATATTTATTTTATTGTATTATTCAAAATGCAAAAATCATCAAATTTTTAATTAAAAAATGTTTTTGTTTAAAATTTTAAGTAAAATTTGATTTATGGGTTTCTTTTTAAAATTAATACAGCTAAATTGGGTTCAGATAAAAATTAAGAGAAAAGTAAATGTTTTTTATAACCTTGTTTGTAATCAAAATTCATTTCAAACATTCTTCAAATAGTGTTGAAGAGACCTACTCTATCAACACCTAAAGATATACGATCTTTACCTAGCCTGAGACTTCATCAGCTACTTTATTTACATTATGATAAAAGCCACTGAGAAGTTAAGTGTGCGTGATTGCGTGCTCAATTACATAAATTTGTACACGTTTATAACAAGTCTAATTGGGAATTGTTTAAAAAACTCAAAACTATTTACAAGAGGCGTGTTTACTCTGATATATAATTATTGTAGTATTTAAATATGATTTGTGTTTCCAACCATAAGGATGATATATTTTGAAAGCTTAACTAAAGTACTTTATACATGCATATGTTATGTTAAAAACATAAAACTAGAGAAAGAGTTATTGTTTTGAATTAGATTGTTTTATTTGACTGAACTAACTGAAATAACAAGATACAAATACTAACCAATAACACACGCTCTGCATTAACTGGACAGAACTCAGATTACAATATATTTCATGGTGAGGTAGCCTCTGGATCACTAAATTTAAGCTGAATGGTTTAAGTTACCTGGCTTCGACAAGTGATCCTTCTTCAGTATTACACTACTATAGTTTCGGACTTGAAAATAAGTCCATCTTCAGGTTCACAAAAACGTCAATAGGTCATCTAACCAATTTGGTTAGATTCGTCGATACACATAAAACACATACACGAACACGAAAAACACAAAAAACTAATATAATATAGTAAAAACTGGCCAGTGTAATTAATCACGGGGGACACGTGTGGCGACGCCGGAAGATGAGTCATGACTGCCACTGGATGGTTAGATGACCTATTGACAATACTGAAGAAGGATCACTTGACGAACCCAGGTAACTTAAACCATTCAGCTACAATATATTGTCTTCAGCCAGGCCCACAGTTAGTGTGTGATGTGCTATGGGCCTGAGTAGTTGCGCCCCCCCCCCCCCCCTCTTCCACCGACATAGATTTGAATCATAAAATGAAAATAGGCATATAAGGAGTTGCACACCTTAGGCTCGTTATATAACGTTTACTTTTGATTGTTAATAAAATTGCCCATATACACAGTAAAGTAAAAACGTAAACTATCAATCAAATATACTAGGATTGTTTTTCTTTCATAGCATAGTCTAGTTGAGCGAAGCGCTCATGTTTCATGATGTTTAATAAAGCAATAAATTAAAACGTTTTTAGATATAATACAACTATTTCATCAATTTAACTTTCAGTTTGTCTCAGAACTATCAACATCCTAAGCCTCTAAACAAGTTTCATAAGTAAAGTTGTGGACATTGCGTACATATCCATGGTTTTTTACAAATAGGTATTTTCAAACTGACATAAAAATGTTTACAAGTTCTTTACAAAAATATTGATCATCGGAAGCCTAAAGATAATTGAACATGTTTAACTACATCTAAATTAACAATGTTATAGGGTGTCTCAAGTCTGAGCAAACCCCCAATGTTATTATTTTCCTGTTAACATAATTTGTGAGACATGACACATTATATGACAGCATTATAAAAATGTAACAGGAAACTGGACGTTGCATTCTAAATGTAATAAGTACTGTAACGAGACATTACAACCTGGAGCTGCCCCCCCCCCTCTCACCACTCAACTTCCAGTTTTACCTAAACAATTGACAAATCGTTTTTCTTCAGAGATGTTCAGTAGAACTCGGAACTCGGTAGCCACCTGATTGGTAAAGGAGTATGGGGAGCTCCTGTCCGTAGGGTTTAGTGACAGTACACAATGTTTTTAGACTGCAAGGCTGAATTGCACATAATTTACTGTACTTTATTTTTTTCTTCAGAATCCTTATCTCTTTTGGGACAGAGGATCTTAAACTGGCTGGGTAGCTGAGTGGTTATAGTGCCCGCCTAGTAATCAAAAGGTTACCGGTTCATTCGTGAGAAAAGTCAGTAGCTTTTTGATGGTTCGGAACTGGGCCCAGCTGTTCCTGATCATTGGGCTTTGAATAAATAATCCTGACTGATGAAACCGCTGATCTTAGTCAGTAACAAAGCTATACAGGTCATCACACACACCATTCTACACTCATCGTCCACTCATATTTGGTTTAAAATAAGCACCTAGGTGGCGTCCCCATTTCAATCATTGGTAATTGATAATTGACAGTAGGTGTTTCCGTGAGATGTCACAGAAGCACTGAAGACTGGGTTCAATAATTATTTTTCAATAATATTTCAATAAACATTCAAAGTGTGTGAAAAAAATATCCAATACCATTGTTTATAATAGAACATAATCAGAAAAGTTGAAATTGGAATAAATTTTACAGCTTTGTCCATAGGCAGCGGTAGCAATTTGTCAACTAGCAATAACGTTCACAAAAACTAACTTTTCAGATCAAAACTAAAATTTCATAAACACTGTGAATACAGTTCTTACAGAAATAAAAAAGGAGATGTACACATAGGCGTATTTGCTAAAAACTCACCGAATTGAAACATGTTACAATTTTTTTTGTTCAGCTTGAGGCCCTTCCATGCTGTGGTGCATGTGGGGTGCCTTACCCCTGTCATTGTATATAAAAATGTAAACAGAATTGTAGAATGGACAAGGTACTGGTTTAATTAAGTGCAATTAGTGAATTCATTGTATTGTTTGGGTTCTCTTATAAATCTCCAATAAATGCTTCAAAATTTTTTACTTTTCATCAAACAGACCATCAACCACTTGTGGTACATGAGCACTTGAATTACTTAACTACCCTGTTATTTTGTTCTCTTTAGAGGTTTGGGAAGATGATTCTTCCCAAACCTTTTGAATTTAAAAGTAAACAGAAAATGAACCATGTTTATGGATGTTATTTGTTGGTTATGAGAATTTCCTAAAATAAAGCTTATTTTTCAGGAATATTTCTGCTGTGTCAGACAGCACTGTCAGCTCCGGCTCCAAGCCCATCTTTCAGCTTTGGAAACCCCGGTGCTGCTGCGCTGTCTGGGCCCATCTCCTTTGGCCTTCTAAAGAGCGGACCATCAGCAGATGCCTACCCAGAGCCAAACCCAGAAGCAGACCCAGATGCATACCCAGAGGCTCTGCCACTCCCTGCTGCTCTGCCCTTCCCTGAGCCCGAACCAGAGCCTATGCCAGCACCTGAGCCTGAACCCGAGGCTAAACCAGAACCCGAACCTGAGCCCATGCCAGCCCCTGAACCCGAACCTGAGGCCAAACCAGAACCAGAACCTGAAGCTAAGCCAGAACCTGAAGCTAAGCCAGAACCTGAACCAGAGCCTGAGGCAGAGCCTGAAGCTGAGCCGGAACCAGAAGCTAAGCCTGAAGCCAAGCCTTCTCCTTTCGGTGACGCCAGACCTCACCCCAAGCCTCGTCCAGGCCACAAGACCAAGCCTCATCCCAATCCTCATGCTGGACCTTCCGGACCTTCTGGACCATCTGGACCTTCAGGGCCCAGCCCCGCAGCCCACCCTCTAGCCTACCAGGAGCACCAGTCAGGTCCTCACGCTGGTCCTGCCCCATCCCACCAAGGACCCAACCCGAGTGCTCACGCTGAGGCTTACCCGCACCCAGCTGCCAACCCAGACGCTCACCCATACCCTTCAGCACAACCCATGCCAGTTGCTAACCCAGATGCCCATCCTTATCCGTTTGCTCAGCCTTTGCCATCTGCCAATCCTGAGCCTCATGCGTTCCCTTACGCTCAGCCCATGCCTGCAGCCAACCCTGAAGCTCATCCTTATGCCTCAGCTAACCCCGATGCTCACCCATACCCATACGCACAGCCCATGCCTGTGGCCAACCCTGAGCCACATGCGTATCCTTCAGCTTACCCTAACCCCGAGGCTCACCCAGCTGCTTACCCATCAGCAAACCCAGCACCCGCTGCATACCCGACTGCTTACGCTCAACCCTCAGCCAACCCTCAACCGTCACCTTACGCTCACCCTGCCGCCAACCCTGAAGCTCATCCATTCGCTTCACCCAACCCTGACCCATACGCTGCTGCTCACCCTGCAGCTCAGCCCCTACCTGCAGCTGGCCCCTTCCCCAGTGCCTATCCTGGTGCCCAGCCTTCTGCCTCTGCCTCAGCTGACGCCTACGCCGCTGCATACCCCAACGCCTACGCATCACCCTTCAGCGGCGCTTTCACCTTGTAATTTTATAAATTATATCATTAAATTTAAAGACAATTATTTTTATTCATTAAACTTTATATTTATTGATAGCAGGGTTTTTTATACAAAACCTTCCATATTTTGGAGTGAAATTAAGCTTTTTTTAAAAAATTATGTTCATCTTGTTTACAACGTGGTAGGGCATAACCTTGTCAAGTGAAGTGTCTTTTGTACCGGGCTGATCCGGTAGCATTAACCTTCATTGCCAGACAGAATAATTGCAGCGCTTATTTCATAACTTCTCACCAAGTGGCATTTAAGCATATTGCTTGTTTCAAAAGAAAATTATATTGGAAATTACTAGCGTACTTGGTACGTGGAGGTAATCATTGAATAAACTGGTGCGAAAATCAAGGGAAAATTTGTATACTCCCAATCTTTAGGAGGGACTATATATATTAAATTTTGGATTTTCTTGGGACGGAATTTGTACCAATTGTCAGAAATTGTGGCGAATGCAAGTGATGATGGTGATGTCTCTGCAATCACGAGAGGTGTTCATAATACCCTTGGTATGGCAGGTAATGAGGATGATATCATTGTGATCGTGGGAAGTATAAATTGTTATAAATTGTTATGAGATGGTGATGCCACCTAGGTGCGTATTTTACCGAAATATGGGTGAAGAATGAGTGATGGTGTGAGATGATCTGTGTAGCGTAGCTTTGTTACTGACTATAAAAACCACAGTGCCGCCATCATGGATATTAATGTTGTGATGACATAAAAACATGCAATAATAACTAAAATTTGATTTTGTTTGCAATTATTGCCAATTAAAGACACATTAAGGTTTCCCTTAATGGCAAGTCACACTGATACCGAGCTCACTCCCGCGGCGGGAGCGAAGTTTGAAGAATCGTTCACGATGTTATTAAATGTGCCAAGTCACAACACACTTTTTACCCATAGCCATAGTGTCCTAAAATTAAAAAAAAACCTCCTAAAATCACGATTAAAAATGGCAGCTTTTCCCAACATTGGACAAATTTTAAAAAGATATACCACATGCATATTTTATAAAAAATTTCTTTGAGATATTGACTTGGGACGACCACTTAGGCAACTCATTTTTGGCCGCCATCTTAGATCCGCCATATTGGATATAAATTTTAAAAAATTAATGTAATGATAACGTTGTGACACATCATTATAAACTAGATTTTCACGCTGATTTCAATGACGAAATTTGATTTGTTTTTAAATATCTGTTTACGTTATGAAGATATATATTCAAACGAAAACTCTCCCCTATACATTTGTTATGGATGTTTCGTACTTTGAAGATTTTTAATGATCATTTTTCTTATATCTCCAGTTCTTATCAATGCTTGCAGTTCAGTCTAGCCTTTAAATATTCTGTGATGTAAGGGCATTCATTCGACCTATTGATAATTCAAAATGAACGAGTTGGCAACGAGATATGATCCCCAACACAATATTAAATTTAACTTTTTTAAATCTTTTTTTATTAAAAGATTTATATCTCGCATTGTTAATACCTCACCAAGTTCTTTGTGGTCTCAAATTACTCATTTAATGTTTTGCTTTAATTTTTTAATCATTTAATAAAATCTGACAAATTTAAAATGAGCAGAGTGCCTTTGAAATTTGTCTTTAGTTAAATACTTCTATCCCCAATTATAAATAACTCCAAAAACTCTTCATGGTCCTCGTCAAAGTATTGACTTTTATTTTTTATTTAGCTAAAGATTACTTATTGATTGTTATTTATAATTTGGTATATATGTCTTAAACCAAAGACAAATTTCTAAATAAAAATAATTTAATTTTAAATTAAGGTCCACAACTCCCTTTATATTTGTCAGATTTTATATAGTGATTAATAAAATTAAAGCAAAACATTTACTAAGTAATTCAAAATCAGAAAGAACTTGTGACGTATTAACAACTCGAGATATAAATCTTTTAATAAACAATATTTCCACAAAAGTGTAATTTAATATTGTTTTGGGGATTGTAGCTCGTCGCTAACTCGTTCGATTTGAATGATCAATAGGTCAAATGAAAGCGCTTACATCACAGAATATTTAAAGGCTAGACTGAACTGCAAGCGTTGATAAGAACTGGAAATATAAGAAAAATTATCTTTAAAAATCTTCAAAGTACGAAACGTCCATAAGAAATGTATGAGGGAGTTTTCGTTTGAATATATCTTCAAAACGTAATCAGATATTTAAAAAAAATTTTGGCATTGAAATCAGCGTGAAAATCTAGTTTATATTGATGTGTCACAACGTTATCATTACATTAATTTTTTTAAACTTATATCCAATATGGCGGATCTAAGATGGCGGCCAAAAATGAGTTCCCTATCGAAATGAAGTACTACCCACCTAATAAACATCGTTGGTCGTCCCAAGTCAATATCTCAAAGAAATTTTAATAAAATATGCATGTGGTATATCTTTTTCAAATTTGTCCAATGATGGAAAAAGCTGCCATTTTTAATCGAGATTTTAGGAGGTTTTCTGTTGACCGATTTTTGGCAACTTTTAGCATGTCACTCTGCAGACCCAACACTACAAAATAAAACCATAAAACGTTTTCTTGCATTTTTTTTAACGTTCCCTGTGTCAGTTTTTTTTTTAGTTTGCTTGGACTAATAGAGATTTGGCAAAATAACAAAAAACTTGATGTTTTATTGTTAATAAATTTAAATATTTTTGTACCCATAAATCTTAGAACCAAATTGTTATACTTATATTATAGGAAATTTAATTGTCTCCAACATTGACATTACATATCTTTCGCTAAAACACACCAAAAAGGAGATATAGGCAAAAAAAACCTAGAAAGTACCAGTTTTTTTGATTTTTCAATATGGCGGCAGGCGCGGAGGGGGGAGAATTGTGCATTTTTCATTTTAAACACCTACTTACCATCCTAGACAACATATAAAAAAATTTAGACTTCCTGGACCGTTTGTAAGTTAACCTCCTATTTTCGTCTCTATTTACTGGACTAGTTACAAAACTTGGAAAAAAGTCACTGGATACAAAAATAATGTTAATTCATTATTTAGTGATAGGATACCTTCTCAAGAGGGCGGCCCGCTAGGAGTCAGAAGAAAATCTTTAAGGTAAACATAGCATGTTGATATGTACATCAAATTAAAAGTCTTAGTTAGTAAAAAAAATGCCGCAAACCCGAATGAGCAACTGAGTCAAAAATGGCAGCCTTTAAATTATTCTTTCAGTTTGTTATTTTGAATCTTTGAAATTTTTTGTAAAAAACACATACAGACAGATAGCTCAAAAACGTTTTGAGATAGGACACATGTTATATTACATTTTTTGTTATATATATTATATATATCTATATACTTATTTAATACGCAAGCAGGATTTTTGTGACAATTACTCCTCCGAAACTACTGAACCGATTGACATGTTTTTGGTGTCATTGGAAAGAGCGTAACGTGAAGTTGTGCAGGAAACTTTCTTTTTAGGTAAATACGTAATTAGAGAGTGAGGCCCTGGGGCCCTTTAAAGTTTCGTATTTCTCCATAAGAATAACATGGGAGATAATTTTTATTTACAGAAACATATGTTTGTTACTTGAAAATAGTCAAAGTCTACTACATAATGATTGCTGTGTATTATGACTCTTAATGTATACTACATTTCAATCAAGGATTGTGTACCTTAAAGTTTACCCATAATGGATCTTACTACTTTATTTTAATGCTGGGAATAGTAAAATTTAGGTGAGAATGAGTTGACATGATTTAGAAAACTTTGCTATAATAATTTATGTATTTAAAATCACAAATCTTTGACATTACCTATTAATTCATTTGAAACTAAACAGCTGATTGACAAATCAAACAAATCATCTACTTCATGTGAATAATGTTATTACACAAAAATAGTTTTTTTTACCAATAACTTGATTCTTTTTTTACTTGTGGGTGTATTTTGAGTTTGCAGTTATGAAAGCACCAAGCCAAGTAACTTTTATCTAATTTTCTTTATAAACTAACAGTATTATTGAATTACTACATGAACTTGACAAGTCAGGTAATTAACACGTTCGCTGCTGAGCGCTAGATGCCGGGACGGCGCCAGTTGCTGAACTAACGCTCGGCCGCTGCGTGACATTGCCACCGATACACTGAATTAGAATAAAAACAACAGTAGTTATACTGGATGGCAATGTCCTGCAATAAAACTGGCTTTGGATATAGTACTAAGTGATTCTGATAGATACCAGCACTACCCAGGTTACAGTCGTTCAAGTAGTGTCGCTATCTAGCAGGAAAGAGGTAAAACAAAGCCCTGTTCCAAACGACCCTGGTGGTGATTTGGGAAACTATATTTTTTAATGTCAGAAAAGTACGTCCCCACGAGCTGCAAAGAAATATAGAACGCATGTGACGTGCTGGCTTATTCATAGCAACGTTAAACAACAATGAACGGTGACGTTCTGGAACGTTCTTAGCTCCTGGCGCCGTGGCCTGGCTGACGTTCCGGAACGTCCGTAGCAGCGAACGTGTTAATTGTCAGTATACCAAGGGGAAGAAGAGTGGGTCCTTGAAAACAGACGAAGGCGGAGACACCCATCTAGAAAATCCAACTGAGTTTTTAAATATAGAGGTCAGTGGATTGCCAAGACACAGATTAGACTAATAAAAGGGGGCACTGGTTTTATTGATGAGGGATATTAATATATCAAAAAGGGCCTTATTAATGGCACAAGACTTCATGTGATCAGAATGTTTAACAACTTAATAGAATGTAAAGTCTTAACTGGAACAAGTGAGTGGGACATATTTTGATTTCGAGGATAAAAATTTACCCGTCTAAAACAAACTTACCTTTCAAAATGGAAAGATGCTAATTTCTGTTATCTTTGGCATTTGCAGTACAAGCACTTTAATTAAAGAGCAGCATGGTTCTACCCAGACCAATTTCAGTAATGAGCAACTATATTATTTGTTGTTTTAAGTAAGGCTACATCTTTTAATAGGACACGCATATTCGTTACGGAAAACTCTGACCAGGGTAATCTTTCTGAAGGTAACTTT